GCAAAAATTTCAAAATCACTGTGTTTTGTGTTCTGGAGTTTTTCGCTTTGCGGGACCTATCTTCCTTCTTCGTAATGACGCGCTTCTTCGATGCTTACAAGCGAGCGTTTCGACACGCTTTCAATGAACATCTTTGTATTAGTTTTAAAGTGCCACTTCTTGTAAAGCTCTTTCAGAAGACAGACGTCGACAAAACTGTGCAAGAACTAAGCAAGTTTCTAGGCACACAACGACAGGGCTTGTAATTTCGAGAATTTCTTATATGCTCTTGTAGTTTTTGATGGTTTTGTGCTTGTGTAATGCGGAAAGGTATTGCGTATAAATACAAGTCTTGAGAGGGTAAGTCAAACAACCACAAGTTGCGATGATGAACTTTCTACGATGCATAGCTACTTTCCTCTTCACCATTCAGTAAGTCCTGTCAGTAAATAGCAAGTTCATCCCAAATTTCGCTACATGCTAAATTCCGGAAATTATATAGCCGGTTATTTACACCAGCTTCTTTGTTTCAAAGACAAAATGTATGATTAGGGTTTGCGAAGGCGGCCTTCTCATTGGAGCAGCGCCTGCGGTTCCTGTCATGGCTGCTCCTGTAGTTGCCCCTGCAGTTGCTGCCCCAGTAGTCGCTCCTGCTCCAGTAGTCGCTCCAGTTGCTGCACCTGTAATACCAGCAGTTGTAAGAAAAAAGTTTATGAACATTTTGAAGATTTGAAAGCGAAGTTACAGCATACTGTGCATACTGGTCTGCCTGTTGAAGTTCGAAATACCATGCTTTCGTCCGAAAAAGGTAAATTTTCTTAGCTCCAACGGAACTAGAAAACAATGTAACTTCAGAGATTGGACATTTCTCCTCAACGATGCACCGCTCATCAGATTTTGGATTCCCATTCGCCAAAAAGAGCTAAGGTCATGGTTTTGAAAGCGATGAGGCATATTTGTTTCGTGACCTATTAATAAAGAGGTTAAAACAATTTTGCTAATTTTTAGAATGAAGAATACACTTCAAGTCACAATGATAAGTTCGGCTGCATTTCGGCAAGCAAAAACTCTGAAAGAATATTACAAACTTTCCTTTAAAAAATGGTTTGCGCCGAGTGAAGATGCTTGAAATGTGATAATTGATTTCAAGCATTGAGAATAAACAAGTAAGGCAGTTAGTCACCATTCGTCATTCTGCAAGACACTTCACTAACTCTCAGGATCAAGGTCTCTCACGGTCAAAAGAACAAAGGATTATGAGAGTGTACTACGACGAGCAAGAACAACAAGCTTTGGAATTGCAGTAAAGTTTAACTTTCCGGGCACGACTCAAGTAAAGCTTCTTCTCACACACCAGCAGGCGTATTGTAGTTAAACAAACAAGTTTTCGACTCGTAGTACCTTCTCTGTCAAGCTTAGTACCATAACTGACAAAAACACAATGATTGCTTCATGGTTGTATGCGACGACTCGTTTACCTATCTTTGATAGCTATGGGATTTCCAGTGCGAAAATTGTACAAATTTGATAGAATCAAATGCAGAAAAAAATCTAAGCCATTTTCCTCTGAAAATTTCACATTTCGGCCATCCTTGCGTGCTAAATCTTGGGCTTCTTCAGAGCGTAAATTTGGAGCTAAGAAATAATCTACTTTTACCGAATGTTGACGTTTGTTGCATCCATTGACTTAATGCAGACTTACACCTACTCTTCCCAAATTTTTCGCAACTAAAGTTCGCATGAAAAACCGTTTCGAGTCTTTGTTTCCAAAAAGTATGATAGAATCGGTAAGCAGCATCTCTACATCGTCTACCAAGTGCAACCTCCTAAGCCAAACTTGAAAAAAAAAGTTGTAGAGACCACACTGCCGTGTCGATGCTTATATGTGCAAAATTTTGGTCCAGCTGGAAATAGATGAAAATTTCTATTCGGAGCATTTGTACAAATCAAACTTAATGCAAAGCGAATCTCAGTTATATGAAAGGAAAGCCTCAATTGCTTCGCTCTAATAGTTTTAAGCCTAAGGCCATACTTGACCCAGTATCAGTCGCTGAGCGACTCGGCACTACATGCCCATAATAAGTCCTAAAGGCGCTTTGCTTGGGCACGATTCATGGTTTGGCGGCAACATACGAAAGTTACGCCTATGCATTTGAGACTCGGTTTTTCTGTAGACATGGCAAATCGCCAAGTCGCGTGGACGTAGCGATTTGACGAAACGGCGCTAAATATGCCTTAGACCTTAGTCCGTGTAATGAAGCAGAATTGATTGCCGCATCGTTCGAATTAGACATAACTTTACGAACTACTAAACATTTAATCATGCTGGCTTGGAGATTGGTGGCAAAATTTTTTGAGCTGAGTTGGCAACATCATATTGGGCATGATGACCAGAAAACCGATATTCCAAAAACTCAAATGTACTTATCAGCAACATGCTCATCACTGTTGGGTTAGATAATCAGCACATCCTTGGAAGATTTTCGTTAACTTCGAAGGAAGAAAAATGACTTTGAAGAAAAGATGGTCGGCCGCTGAGAACGTCAGGAGATCATACAAAAAGCTGCAAAATGCGGCTTGTACAGCTTCTTGTTCCTCTCCAATATGTTCATAGTGAGACAGTAGGAATAAGTACGGGTAGCTAAACAGCGTGAAATTCGGATATCTGAAGTTTCAGGATATGAAGCTTTCTTCTAAGCTGCGATCCCCTCCCAGCAGGGATATTAGTGTATGCCCATGTAAAAACTTGGAGCCAAGCGCCCCGCTCTAGCAAAAATTATGTCTCTTTAAGGCCCAGATCGAAATTCACCGTCAAATTACGTGTGCTTGTAAAAGTACAGTCACAGAAAATTGAGCGTACAGAATCAAACGTTCAGTGCTCTTCAAGACAGGACAGGATGATGTCTTTCAGAATGTCACAGTCTAAGGTCCGAAGAGGAGGAAAAAGGGGTCCTCGGAAGTTCTCATGGAAGGAGGGGGGAGAAGGGGAATCGTTCTCGAAAGGCTTCTGCCTTAACTCTTGCTCAAGTAAAGTGCACGCCCACTTGTGGAACGGTTTCTGAAACATAATTTTTAATGGCTATTATTATATATCTCTTAGTTCTAAACCTGCTTATGAACTGTAGTTTAACAAGGGTTTTTAGAATTAGTTTTATTTGCTGCAGCACAACCCTTTGTTCGCAATCTAATTAAACCTTTCGGAAGACTGCGGACTTTAGCTTGTTCATGTATAAGGTGATATTGTCAAGCGGTGATCATGATGCAACAATGCTCTTGAGATTGTTGCTCTTTCAAAAAATTGCATATCAGTATTCTGCAAAATCAATTCAATCTACATATTAATAAAGCTCAAAATTGTTAGTTCGGAGGCCATGTGCGTTATAAAAACGCGTCGACCCCTGCGCAGATGGCAGGTTACTTTTGCGGCGACTTGTTGGATTTTTCTATCGATTTATTGATTTGTTTGAGTTTTTCTGAAGAGAAGAAGGCTTATTATGTTTAACCAAGCATTTTCCCATAGTCATGTAAAGAAGGAAGATGAAGCTCATTTTCACCCCGGGACCACGAGGATGCGGTAGGGAGGGGTACGAACTGCCAGTTCTGACCACCACCGCGGACTACCGGTCCTGCAAGGACATGCAACAACATTACAAAAGGATCAGTTGCCAGCAGAGGCGGCTCAAAACTGGCGAAATTCGTCCCCCTACCCGGATGCGGTGAATCGAAGTAGATGCCGAAGGTTCATCCATACCATGGAAAGGAGGGAGAATGGTTTCGAAATTCGGTAATCTTGCTCGCAACCATAGCACCTACTTCGTCCCCTGTGAACAACAGCCCGGGCTGGACCGGGATGCAAACTAGCAGAGAAACAAAAGATGAAACTCTTGCACTCTGAGGAGTTGTTCCGAATTTCGTGATTTTGATCTTGCAAAGAGCTATCTCATGCTCGTTGTATAATGCGACAAATGCAGAAAACCAATTTTATTTTAAGAGGATACTTTCGGCAATCATTCGTGTAACTTGATAAGGATCACAATTTGACGCCGGTCGGCGGTCTTCCAAATATCCCTAAAATCTAGTTTTAGGTAATGCTTATCATATTCTGACCTTTTACCTTTTTATTGAGAGCAACACTGCGAGGTAGACGAACAGATGCTGCCCGATTAGCCACACCCCAATTGAATTTGTCGTAAGAGCTGGTTTCATGTTTACCAGTTAGTCTGGAACAGAAAAGCAGTACTTTAATGTTGTTAGATTTACTATGCAAACAAAAAGTGGACTCTCTGTACTTCTCTTCAAATTCTTACTACTTTAATAACAACTGGATAGATGAAACAGATTGCAACATAATGCTTTTTTGCATCTACAGCTGGCATTTTGAGATCATTGAATTCATTTCGCAGCTATTAAACATCATTCGGGCATCTCAAATCTTATAGCACAGCAAACGACGAGCATCTAAGGTGTCACTGGATGCAGCTTTTTCTCTCCTTTCTGATAGATATTGTTCCTTTTTTATGAGGTCTGAGGGAAAAAAATCATAGTTCTTGTTTTTGAGCGCGTCACAGGTTGCACCCGCAAAACTCGAAACTCAAGTTTTCAAAGCGGTGAATACTCAAATGATTATGAGTCCGAAGACATGATAATAATTGAAGCATTTCTGTACTTTAAGTATTCGCAAAGGTGAAGACTTTTTCTTATATGCTCTTGTAGTTTTTGATGGTTTTGTGCTTGTGTAATGCGGGAAATGTGTTGCGTATAAATACAAGTTTTGAGAGGGCAAATCAAACAACTCCCAAGTTGCGATGTCGAACTTTCTGCGATGCATAGCTACTTTCCTCTTCACCATTCAGTAAGTCCTGTCAGTAAATAGCAAGTTCATCCCAAATTTCGCTACATGCTAAATTCCGGAAATTATATAGCCGGTTATTTACACCAGCTTCTTTGTTTCAAAGACAAAATGTATGATTAGGGTTTGCGAAGGCGGCCTTCTCATTGGAGCAGCGCCTGCGGTTCCTGTCATGGCTGCTCCTGTAGTTGCCCCTGCAGTTGCTGCCCTAGTAGTCGCTCCTGCTCCAGTAGTCGCTCCAGTTGCTGCACCTGTAATACCAGCAGTTGTAAGAAAAAAGTTTATGAACATTTTGAAGATTTGAAAGCGAAGTTACAGCATACTGTGCATACTGGTCTGCCTGTTGAAGTTCGAAATACCATGCTTTCGTCCGAAAAAGGTAAATTTTCTTAGCTCCAACGGAACTAGAAAACAATGAAACTTCAGAGATTGGACATTTCTCCTCAACGATGCACCGCTCATCAGATTTTGGATTCCCATTCGCCAAAAAGAGCTAAGGTCATGGTTTTGAAAGCGATGAAGCATATTTGTTTCGTGACCTATTAATAAAGAGGTTAAAACAATTTCGCTAATTTTCAAAATGAAGAATACACTTTAAGTTTAATGCTTCGGCTGCATTTCGGCAAGCAAAAACTCTGAAAGAATATTACAAATTTTCTTTTAAAAAATGGTTTGCACCGAGTGAAGATGCTTGAAATGTGATAATTGATTTCAAGCATTGAGAATAAACAAGTAAAGCAGTTAGTCACCATTCGTCATTCTGCAAGACACTTCACTAACTCTCAAGATCAAGGTCTCTCACGGTCAAAAGAACAAAGGATTATGAGAGTGTACTACGACGAGCAAGAACAACGAGCTTTGGAATTGCAGTAAAGTTTAACTTTCCGGGCACGACTCAAGTAAAGCTTCTTCTCACCCACCAGCAGGTGTATTGTAGTTAAACCAAACAAGTTTTTGAATCGTAGTACCTTCTCTGTCAAGCTTAGTACCATAACTGACAAAAACACAATGATTGCTTCATGGTTGTATGCGACGACTCGTTTACCTATCTTTGATAGCTATGGGATTCCCAGTGCGAAAATTGTACAAATTTGATACAATCAAAAGCAGAAAAAAATCTAAGCCACTTCCCCTCTAAAAACTTCACATTTCGGCCATCTTTGTGTGCTAATCTTGAGCTTCTTTAGAGCGAAAATTTGGAGTTAAAAGAAATGATCTATATTTACCGAACGTTGACGTTTGTTGCATCCATTGACATTAATGCAGACTTACGCTGCTGCACGACGAAGGCGCAGATGTAGTATTAGTTGAGCGGGCGCGAACGCGGCACGCGCGTATCCCCACCGTTGTAAATCCTGCGCCTCATGCGCACTGCGGCTAATAAAGCCGCGATTGCGCCCAAAGGTATTGCGCCTTCGTTATGCGGCAGCCTTTACTTCCGAAGTTTTTCGCAACTAAGATCGCATGAAAAACCGTTTCGAGTCTTTGTTTCCAAAAAGTATGATAGAATCGGTAAGCAGCATCTCTACATCGTCTACCAAGTGCAACCTCCTAAGCCAAACTTGAAAAAAAAAGTTGTAGAGACCACACTGCCGTGTCGATACTTATATGTGCAAAATTTTGGTCCAGCTGGAAATAGATGAAAATTTCTATTCGGAGCATTTGTACAAATCAAACTTAATACAAAGCGAATCTCAGTTATATGAAAGGAAAGCCTCAATTGCTTCGCTCTAATAGTTTTAAGCCTAAGGCCATACTTAACCCAGTATCAGTCGCTGAGCGATTCGGCACTAAATGCCCATAATCCTTCTATATATATAAAACCGAATGGTGTACTTGTCTGTACGTTGGTGGATAAGCATGTTGATGCTGTCTGTACGTCTTCGATGGTGTTTTTCTGGTTTGCGACAGTGTTTTCGTGTCTGTTGTTTTCCAGTCTGGAAGTCATGTGGGATGGTGAGCTGCACTTTGCTTCGATTTCCCATTCTCATTGCGTATTTCGACACGCTAAAATGGTCGCTTTCCTTTGTGATTTTTTGTTTCGTTCCTGCCTTCTTCGACACGCTTCTGAGGCGGTCGATAATGGTTGTTCTTCTTTGATTCGTTCTATTGTTATTTTTGCCATAGTTAAAAGCGCTTCGTTTTGGAGTTGAATCATGTCGGCGTTACATATTTCATCATCTTTTTATGCGGCTGAAGAACTTGTTCTGTTCCATCTTAGCTATGCTTTTTCGTATTGTAGTTCTTCATGAGAATAAATGTTTTGCAATTTCGCATAATTGCTTCAATTTGGTGTACTTGCTGATCAATTACGCACACATGAAGCGTTTTGGAGGAATTACCATTTGAATATCCGTTTTATCTTTTCTCGATCACCCTCTCCTCATTTCTTTTCGTGTCATAGTTCTTGATTTCAAAATCAAAAATCTTTTTGCCTTCCTTGTTTCTAAGCAGTCACGCAGACTTGAGATATTATTGAGTTGTCACATGTGATTTTTGATTTGATTCTTTGATTCATTTAATTCTCAAATCACAGGTTGAGTCGTCCCCCACATGTGATTTCGTCTCGTAGGTCGTCATTTCGTAAGAGAAGAGAAGCGGAGAAGAGACAGCGCAGTGTCGTAATCGCGGGATTGCAAGAGTCGGAATCCGGCAAGACGCTTCTCGAAAGAAAGTCTGAACTCGAAAAAGGCGTAGCGGATATTCTGGAGACCTTGAAAGTTGACTGTTTTCCCACCGAGATTTTCCGTATGGGAAAGTTCGACGGAACTAGGCCTCGTTTAGTAAAATTAGTTTTTCCGTCTAAAGCTCAGTGGAGCCAGGTCCTCGCCAATGCACACCTTCTGCGGCAGTCCGAATTTTCCAACATTTTTATCCGCAGAAGCATGACGGCTTCCGAGAGGGCGCAGGAATACGAATTGAGGCAGCAAGCAAAGGAGAGAAACAGGGGCAAAAATGTAAAGGAATGGGTTGTTTATAAGGGAGAACTGAGACGGATTTCAGAGCTTCCAAACCGCCGTTTTCCGGAAAACGCATGAACTTGCCCGGTCCATACGATCAGCTAGATTGTTATCTTTTCAACTCCCGAAGCCTCGTCAACAAGATACATCTCCTTCATGCCTTCTTGAATTGTCATTCTCCTGACCTACTCTGTGTTACGGAAACCTGGCTCAGCCCCAAAATCAAAAATTCTGAATTAACCTCTAGTTTTCCTTACTCTATATATCGCACGGATAGGACTCAATGCAAAGGTGGTGGGGTATGTCTTTTAGTCAAAGAAGATTATGCCGTAGAGCGAGTTCGTTTCATCAGTGATCTTTTATCTGACATTCTTGTTGCGAATATCTGGTCAGTTCGGTCTTCTTTGCCTCTCAGAGTAATTGTTATCTACCGCCCCCCATCTTCTAGTTCAAGCGACGATGCAAAACTAGCTGATGCTTTATATGACCTTTGTTCTCTTCCTTTTAATACTATCGTTGTCGGTGATTTCAACATCGATGTATTATCGCCATCATTCCCTCGCAATTCTCAGCTCTACTCCTTTCTTTTTGAAAGTAATCTTTATCAGCACGTCAACTTCCCCACTAGAGGGAAGGCGGCCATCGATCTGGTTTTATCTAGTGGCAGAGAAATCACAAACGTCGAATCCATTGCTCCCTTTGGGACATCTGATCACAACATTATCAGCTTCCAAATAGCTTTTTATCCTCATAAAGCCACTTTTCTCCCGTATCCTGATTTCAGTAAAGCAGACTTTACAGATATCAGTAGAGCTCTTCTCAATATTGACTGGTTTAGTGTGCTACGCGATGAATCTGTTGACAATCTTTACTATCATTTTTGTATAATACTATATTCTATTCTGGGTCAGTATGTACCTCTTCGTTTCGACCACTCTCGACTCAAAAAGTATCCTATTCAAATCCAAAACCTTCTAGAACAGAAAAATAAGCTTTTCTCTCGATTGCCTGACCCCTTGAATAACCACTTTTACAGGAAAATTTGTAAAGACATCAACTATCATATAAGGAAATATTTGAGCAATAGAGAGCGTCGATTGTCCAGAACCAATGCGAAGGAGCTCTACCGATATCTTAGACACCAAAGTAAAGGCCAACAAAAACTGCCCAATTTTTTTGACGACTATGGAAATATCTACACTCGCGATAGTGAAAAATCAGAAGCATTGGGCAATCATTTCGCTAGCTTTTTCATGACAGTCTCTTCTGATGAAATTTCCAATATCACCTTACAGCTTGATCGAGTACCTGCTTCTTGTTCGGAATTACATGTAAACCCAGCCAAAGTCTATGATATCCTCAAGAAACTCGATGCAACAGCCAGTGCTTCTTACGACGGTATTCCTCAAATTGTTTACCGGAAATGTGCTAGCGCCCTCTGCCTACCCCTTTCTCTTATTTTCAGCGCTTCCTTGGCACAAGGCAAGGTCCCTAACATCTGGAAAGAGGCACTGGTCACTGCCATACCTAAGTGCGACCAAGCAAATGCCATTAGCAATTTCCGACCCATTAGTATTACGCCGCCATCCGGCAAAATTCTTGAAAAAATTATCAAGAATAAGCTTCTTGACTGGTTTGAACACAACAATATTATTCCTTCGGAGCAATATGGCTTTCTGCGAGGTGGCTCGACCACGGCGCTGCTTTGTGATTCAGTCCATGATTGGATGGTTGCCCTTAACCATGGCAAATCAGTGGATATCATATTTTTTGATCTTTCGAAAGCATTTGATAGGGTTGACCATAGAAAGCTACTCCTCAAACTAGAAAATTACGGTATTCGAGGTCAACTTCTTTCTTGGCTTACCTCATACTTGCAAGAAAGGGGAATGACTGTTCGAGTTGGTAACTGTTTTTCCAAAAGACACAGCTGCCTCAGCGGCGTACCTCAAGGTGGCATATTATCGCCACTCCTCTTTCTTGCCTATACAGCAGATTTGCCCGCAATACTCAAAACACATACCAATATGAAAATTCAAATGTTTGCTGACGACATTAAAATATATCTATGCTATGATGAGGACCAATATAATGAAGCATTTGAGGCAATTTCCTTATCGATCCAAAAAATGACTTTGTGGTCCAGAGATTGGAATCTGCCTGTCAATGCCCTCAAATCTAAAATGATGCACCTTGGTAGTTCTCCGTGCCCAACTTATGAGTATGAAGGGATCACTTTAGAATCCTGTAGCACTACTAGAGATCTTGGTGTTTTAGTAGATAATCAGTTAAGATTCACGCACCATTATGACGCAGCTATTAAAAAAGCACTTTCAAGTCTTTTCCTTCTTTTACGTAATATCCACTGTAATGACCCGGTGCTATTAGTAAAACTTTATAAAATGTATGTTCTACCGCATCTAGAATATGCCTCACCGGTGTGGAACCCCTTTTTGAAAAAAGATATTGAATCGATTGAAAGGGTCCAAAAAATATTTACAAGAAGTTTTCTATCGCTGTTTTCCCACCCCCGACTATCCTCAATCTTTACCCACGTACAGATTGAGGTTATCCGCCTTGAACTTACGCAGCTTAAAATACAGAAGAGTATTCAATGACTTGGTATTTGCCTTCCGCATAATACGTTTAGAAACAAGATTAAGAGCGAGTAAGTTTTGGATATTTAGGCATTGCGGAACTCGTACAGGTAGGCTGAATGTGCGCTATCGCAAATTAAATAACAGAATCCTTTCAATAGCCTTCAATTCTTTTGTATGCCGAACGTCAAGGTGGCTCAATCTCTTACCGAAAGAGATTACTTCCAGTGAAAACTCCTTGGTTTTTCGCAAGAGACTGGCCCAAATTGATGTTCTACAAACCTTGAATATTGCAGACTTTTAGAGCTGTTTCAACTGTCTACATCATCACCGCTGGTCAATCGAGCTCAGACTATTAGTGCATCCTCCTAGTCCTATTCAAGCGATACATTGAAAAGTTGAAGTGTTCTCTTCGTTTTCTGTTGTGTGTTTTTTTTGGGTTCTTTTATTGTTTCTTTTGCTGTCTTTGATCTGTCTACGGCTTTTTGTTATCACGGTTTCTGTAGTGCTCGCGGTCTCTTCTACAGGAATAGCCGTTCGAGGAATTCAAGGTTCGATGACCATTTTACCTTGAGGTCCCCCCTTGTCCATTCGCCCAGGGTCCCTTCGCCTCTTGCTAGGGTTAAGTTGGTTAACCAAGCCCTGGTGCACTGTTACAAACACGCGTCTGGATAGGGGACAAGGATGTCGGTTAATGGCTTCTCACGTTCTGTAGAAGGAGAACGACCTGACCACCTATGCAAGAGACATGTCCTTCTCTACTTTTTCTGCAGAAACTAGTTAAGCCAGCAACAGTGTACTTCTCGTTTTTATTTACATTTTTTGGCGCACCTGTGAGTGCATGAATAAATAAATAAATAAATAAATTTCAAAAATGGAAGTCTTCTTGATACTTCCCATAAATTCATCTAAAAATGCTCTGAATTTTGCCCCTTTTTGAAGTTTTGCCCTGCTTATTTAAACAACTAGGCAGACACGAAGTTCTCCTCACAATTATGTACAATATAAATGATTGTACTTTCCACCAAAAAGGTTTTTGGTTTTGGATTTGCGACTTTGCTCTCTTTGTCTTCAAACAAACAAGTTTAGGTTAAGTTCTTTCGAGCAAGCATAATTGAATATCCTTTTTTTTCACACTCAGTTTGGTTCGCAGCCTGTTTCCAGGATTTTTTTGTATAGGGGCCTGCAGGATCGCGAGAGTCGGTGAGGTTGCGGCCATTGCTCGCGCATTGAGCTTTCTCGGTCTTTTTTTCGCCTTTTAAACGTTTTTCTGCTATCAAATGTAAGCTTCTAATTATTTAAGGCGATTCCGAGAAATACAGGATTGTTTGAGTGGTTTGAGGCCTTGTAGCATCCTGCGTGCGCAATGGCCGCAAACTCACCGACTCTCGCGATCCTGAGCCCTATAGTTTGGTAACTTCATAGTAGTTGTTGCCTGAAACTTATGTTATAGAGATGGTTGTCAATGTGTCGTTTAAAACTTGATGTTTAGTATCATGGCAAACATTTCAACTGAAGATTTACTAAAAAGTGCACTTCCTGTAGAAGTGCCGCTGCCGGCGGCTGTCGAAGCGTTGCCTGTACCTGTAACTGTAGCCGTGGAGTACTCTGCGGGCATTGATGAGAAGTTTTCTTATGGGGACTATCATTTTAGCACAGTTAGTTTTTTTTTATATTTAAAGCACAGTGTTTAATTTATTAATTTAGGTGTTGACAATGTAATCATCAGAGAGAATTTGACCATCCACGTTTTGATGGACCCGAAAGACATGGATAAAGAATTTGACGTATTTACACACACTGTTGTAAGTTTTTCTTCATAGATATCTCATGGTTTTTAAAGGCAGCGTTTAGGCAGATCTGGACCTATGGGAATTTTACGTGGAAAGTAATTTTGGGGCCCTAACTAAGCCACTGCCCAACAGGCAGCTCAGGTAGTGCTCTAACGGCTGAGAGATGCGCCTCGAAACTGTACCCCGGGATCGTATCTCACATGGATTCATGGCGCAAAAGGCTGCGTTCATATCGATCCCAAAATTTGGGAACAGTTCCAGCACAGGGCTTAATTCGAGCGCTGTGCTGGAACTGTTCCGGGACTTTGGGATCAGTATGAACGCAGCCTTAGACAGGCATCACTGCCGCCATAAATTGCCTACCTCTCATTCGTTTTGCTCTGTGATCGTAGAATTTAGCAGTTAGAATATGTTATGTAAAAAGATAGCTCGAACAGCCACCGTGCTCTAACTCGATACCACGTTAGTTGTAAAAGTGCGCGCGTGACTTTTTACTTGAAGATAATTGAAAACAATCTTTGAATTACAAAAAAAGTCTTGTAAATTGAAAAAAAAAATGTGAAAAAAGTCGGGCGTGGCAAGGCCGCTAAAATCTCTAATGGATTGTAAAGGGAAAGTGCTTACTAATTGTAGTTGAATGACAGAAATATGGATGATAATGCTTGCAAAACTCTTCTTGAATAATATGATTTGTGAGTTTTTACAGCAAGGATCCTGCTGAAATTCTATGGGGATCTGATGGAGCCCAAATCATTGTTGAATCTACAGGTGTGTTCACTACCATCGAGAGAGCATCTGCTCACTTGAAAGGAGGCGCTAAAAAGGTACAACGTTTGCCATCGATGAAAATACTAATCTTTTGAATAATGAGCAGTGTTTTAGGTAGTCATCTCAGCACCATCTGCAGATGCATCGATGTTTGTAATGGGTGTGAACCACGAAAAGTACGATGCTGCTAAAAAGCACATTATCAGGTGCGCTTTTATCGCTTCAGTGTGCACATTTCCTTACTGGACTCATTTCTGTTTCAGTAATGCTTCTTGCGCCACAAACTGTCTTGCTCCACTTGTTAAGGTTATCAATGACAACTTCACAATCATCGAAGGACTTATGACTACCGTCCACGCCACAACGGCGACGCAGAAAACAGTTGATGGCCCATCAGGAAAGCACTATCGTGATGGACGTGGTGCAGGCCAGAACATCATCCCTGCTTCGACTGGTGCTGCCAAGGCTGTCGGCAAGGTCATCCCAGCTCTAAATGGAAAACTCACTGGAATGGCCTTCCGTGTGCCCCTGATGTCTCGGTAGTCGATCTCACTTGCCGTCTGCAGAAAGCGGCTTCCATGGATGACATCAAAAAGGTTTGTTGAGTGACGTCAATCAAAGTGCTGAGTTCCTGCCCTAGGTCGTCAAGGCAGCCTCTGAGGGTCCAATGAAGGGTATTTTGGGATACACAGAGGATCAGGTCGTGTCGACTGATTTCGTCGGTGACCACTATTCTTCGATCTTCGATGCTGGAGGGTTGGGCCAGACTGCGCGGCGTACGCGGCGTACGCAGCGTACGCCGCGTACTCTCCTATGATAAAATATACCGAGCGTACGCTGCGTACGTCACGTACGCCCGTACGCCGCGCACTCTGGCTCAACCCGGAGCTTGCATTTCTCTCAACCCCAATTTTGTCAAGCTTATCTCATGGTAAGTCTTTGCAGTATATCTTATGGTATTAAGTGGTCTTCTAATTAGGTATGACAACGAGTTTGGTTATTCATGCCGCGTTGTGGACCTCATTGCGTTTATTGCCTCGAAGGGCTAAAGAAGCGATACCCCTGGCCCTCTTCGCTCTCAATAAAACTTGTGGTTTTCTAGTGTTTCGCTGTGTTTGTTGCCTCTCTCTCGAGCGTACACTGCTTTATATAGGTGTGTAGGGTCTCCTTCTTAATGTATTTGTGTAGAGATTTATGTAACAAATTTGTATCATACTTTGGGTTAACCTACCTGAGGAGAATACCGTCAGATCTACTCGACTATACCTAGGTAGGCTTTTCGAGATTGTGGCCTATGACATTTGATTGAAGACATACAGGATTTAATCTGGTCTTTTAAGAGTGTTCTGTCTTACGTGTCTCCCACCAAGCAAATACCGTGTCATCAGGTCTAACACTTTCTACTCTTCGTGATTTCCTTCCCACTATCGGAGATTGCCGCAATGTTGTAACCGTAAGGGTACTGCAACGTCTCACCATGGCGGGGACTGTTTCTCTCGAAAAATATTTTGAATTGAGGCCCCCGCAAAATGTTGTTTTTCACCATTTTCGCGCATTCCAAGGTAGATTTTTGGGAATAGCGCATTGGACAACCCCAGGTAAGCCAGCAATCTCCACGTTAGGGTTTGTCGAGCACTGCCTTGGGGCACACATGAAAAAGTTGCCTGCAGCACGGGAAAATTTCCTTGTAAAGTGCAGAGGATTATTGACTTTCATGTTCAAAGTTCTAACATGAAGAAGAAAGGGATACCCAAACAGTGGAGCACATGCCGCACAATTCTGCTACAAAAAAAGGCGAGAGCGAAGAGGAACTACCGATCAGCTCCCTACGTGTGCTTTAGGCTGTCTACAAGGATAATCACGCGTATTTTGAGGACGTTGAAAAAGGCACAGCTGAAGCAGGCCGTTTCCCCAGGGATCGGTCATATGTTGCCGACTGTTGCCGAGAGCGCATAATACAGAGTGATACCAAATCCGGCATCTGGCAACAGTTGCTGGCAACTATGACGGAAAACATTCGGTTGCATTGACTAAATTAACACTGTAAATGCAGCGGCTCGGAAAAATAACAACTTCGGGATATTTATCGTTTTCGGTTCCCATGGATGAGCTAAGTCTGAAACTGTGTTTTGCAGCTTCAAAATATATCAATAGCCCGCTTTTCCGAACTGAAAGTGCTATTTGGGCGTACCACGTATGCCTGCTCTCTAGAGCGCGATCGCTCGTGAGTGGAGACACGGTAATTACCGTACCCACGAGCCTTAGAGGGCAGGCATACGCCGTCCGCTCAATTATCACTTTTCACTTCTGAAAAAGCGCGTTATGATATCTTTTGAAGCTGCAAAGCACAGTCTTGGGCTTAATTCATCCAGGGGAACCGAGAACGAAATATCCCAAATTTGTCATTCTGCCGAGCCGCTCCTTCAAAGGCAGTGTCCGGGCAGATTTGGGAGCAGCACCTCACCGTCATCATAGTATCAAAGCGAGGTCCCTATGCAGGCCATAGCCCGGCCGCGATCGCAAAGTATTGCTTTGAAACGAGTAAACACTTTCGGAAGTCTGAACAGAGACACCCCTCGATTCTTTTGTCCTTACCAACGGGGATCGTGCTGCAACACGGCAATTGCGAGTTTGTTATTGGTTGCAGCGAGGCGTCCCGCATGACTATGTGCTTCGGTAAGGACGAGATTGAATCGACAGGCGTCTCTGCTGTTTACTTGCTTCAGGAGCAATATTTTGCGGTCGCGACCGGGCTTGCCAGGGGCGATACTTACCAATCTCCGGCGGCGTGGCGTTATGGAGCAAAGCTACGCCGCATTCGCCTGCGGCAGGGCCCGGCGCGAGGTTGTCAAAAGGGATTTTTGAAAACGAATTCCCCTTTGACCTCAAAATTTTTTTACGAATACCCCTTTGACCCAAAAATTGGTTCCAGTGATTGCGCAGTGAACACTTTACCCATAGAACAAGTTCTATTGAAGAAAAAACAAAATTCATTTATGACAGTACCCAAAAACAAATGAGATCATACTAAAGATCTCTGCAACGAAGTCAAAAAAATTGCACCGTATTAGAAGTACTAGAATTTATGACCAGTTACCTCGTGAAAAAAGAAACCAAATTGAATATTAGATTTGCGGCGAATTAAGGATGGCTCAGTCATTTAAAATGGTTGAAGAAATCTCACTCAGTACTGCAATAGGTCAAAAACCATAAATCGTCGATCATGGAGCTTAAACTCTTTGGAGCTTTTGGCTTCTCGAAAGCTGTTTACTTTACTTCTACTTCAATTGTTTTAGATTTGGTATTTTTGCGACCTTCACACTCATGCCGAATGTGCAATTCAAATTCTTAATCCAATTTTTAAAGTGCGTATAATAGCACATTGAGCTCTTACAGATGCAACAAAGAAATGACTTTTGTGTATTTGCTGACACTTTCGTTCTTTATTATAATTCATGTTTGGAGAAACTAGCAATAGAAAACCAAAATGAGGTGACCTAAAATAATACAATAACGAAAACAGCGATAAGAAGAGCAAATCACAGAAGTTTTCATCGTTCAAAGCTAAAGAAGGACAATCACCGTAGTACTCGAACGTCAACTCAAACTCTCAATATCGTGCCGCGCGGAACGTGAAGCCCGACTCGGGTGCACCAGCATGAGATCTCGCATCAGGTAATGAAAACAACGCCAATACTCCCAAAGGTCTGCTCTTCTTTACGTCTGCTGGATGTGGCAACACCGAGAATTGCAAAGTGCTAATCTCAGATGGGACTAGCCTGAACGCAGATACTTCGGGATAAAAGATGCTTAGTTCCTTGCCAGACTTTGCTCAAAAGCGCCTAAGTCTCTTCACTTTCTCGTGTGTGGAGAGATGAGAGAAGTTAGAGAAATTTGGGCGCTTTTGGGTGCTTATGAACGCTTTTGGGCGCTTTTAAGCGAAGTCTGGCCGGAGCCTTAATGATATTCACGGTAACAAGGAAGAACAGTCAAATATAATCGAAAGTGGAGCGCCTTTGCTCGATGAAGCAACGATAACAGGTGTACTTCACACTTAACATAAAAGTTTAAAAGGTACTCCTGCACTGAAAAAAATCAACAGAAAAAAACTAACCTTGATCCCACAAATCATAAGTTAAGTAAAACCCATCAGGCTTCACACTGTCGAACAAGAACAGAACAACCACAACTGAAAGAAAAAGGTGCTATTGCTGCTAACTTAAATAGACAAACCATGAGAAAAAAAAGGATAAAAAGCCAAAGTGCAGAAGTACTTGCACTTTAAGCAGAAATTTGAAACTCACCGAAAAGATAAAACAGGCAAACGTACGCCTTCTTTGTGATCGGGAACATAGGCTCCAAACTTTTCAGAGTTCAGAACACCACTGAAAAACCACTCAGTATATCCCAATACACAAGTCTGTATGAAAACGAACCTATGGTGTTTGTACACATACTGAAGACCTTGAAAACCGCACAGATGGCACTACTTCGGCAACCATCTGGAAACGCGCTGCCATGAATAGCGATGGTAACATGATTACGGATTCAAAAGAAACAGCTTTTCTAAACACGTTTGTTAGACAGTATTTCAAGAAAAAATGCTTTGGATACGCGAAACTCAATTAAAATCGATTGATGCTATACAAGGTGCTCCAGACGCATACAGCGTTCCATTTCCTTATCAATCGACCATGTCTTCTGGCTTTTTTGTCCAGATGCCCCCAAAATGCTGTCTTGAAAAAACCAAAGCCTAGCCTCGTCTTCTAAAACAAAACTATCAACTAATAGTGCATAATCAAAGTCAGGGCTTTCTGGACAAACTTGATTTCTCCCTCATTTTCGCTTTTGCATGCTTAGTACAAAAATCAAATTGCAATCGCTGTAAGGCCCCGGACAGACTTCACGTGATTTGATCGTCGCGACGAGACAACTGTTACAACATCATTCCATGCCGATCAACTTGCATTCGGTTGTGATACTTTTCCAGCCCGAAATTTTTTAATGTGAAATGAAAATGAATGGAAATCTTGGTGCTATACAAGGTGGCGATTAGGCGATTAAATCGCGACGATTAAGTCGCGTGAAGTCTGTCCGGGGCCTAAGGGAAACAAGGAATTGACCAATTCTTTCCTAGCCCTGTGCCCCATCGCTAACTTCTCGAAGTGCAAGCACCCATGAGAAACCCAAGCGAATGTGAAGCGTACAAAAGGCTTATTCTTTGACAGAATGAAATGGAAATTTCTGATAAATTAAGAACAAAACAAATGGATGAATTAAAATGAACAACGCAAACATAAGAAAGAACTAGTACCTTTCGACTCATCCAATTTCGATTAGGTGGCGGCGGATGAAGCAGACAGTGACGTTACTCCCAGAACAGAACGGTTTGAGGGTTATTTGCAAAAAGAACTAAAATATGCAGTAGAAGGTAAAGGGTGCTGCGCATGCTGCCTTCGCTAAAAGACAGAGAAGTAGTATGCACATTCTAGATCCCACTAGAAGAGACACTAATTCTAGCAAATCGATCAAGAACACCTAAATAAGGCAAACGAGGTAAAAAAAATTAGAAGGAATACACGACAATATGAGCCCGTAACGCTGACGACCATAAATGCTGTGACAGTGATAATGAAAATAGGACAGGCACAGATTAGAACAACGTGAGTAAGATGACCGCTTAATACAGAGTGAGAGTCTGAAAATGCTGGAAAGGTAATGGAAATTCTGATCATCCGAATGAAAATCTTCTCTAATTTTTGAGAAAATAGAGCTGTTGCAAGAATTGCCTGCCCTTGAGAATCAGCAACAAAGCAGCCTTTAGCAGAATCAGCCACAACAGCCTTTAGTACACCCTCAACAATGACAAAAACTAGTAATACGCCGATGAATACAGCGAAAGCAAAGGAGAAAGGTGAAAAGGTGGAAACAGCGTAAAAAGAACTAGTAAGTGATGAAACATAGACGTCGTTAAAGGACCCAGCGATACGCCGTTCGATTGGAGCGCGCTTTCCTCCTTAGGAAAGGGGCTGTAGAGGCTATTTTTGCCTCTAGCAATGAGGAGAGGAGGAGGTTTGAAACCAAATTCTCAGTATATACTAATCTTTAGGCGTAGAGTAGATTTATGTAAAAATTTTGAAAAAATTATGTGAATTGAGAGTTTTGCCAAGCTCAGCTTGTCATTAGCTTGTCAAATGACAAGCTAATTTGGAAATAAGTTGGGGAAACTCTTCATTCACATAAGTTTTTCATAATTTTTCATACTTTGTTACTTAGTCCTACTGCGCATATACACACCGAATCCCGCGCGATTTTGTCGCCTCTGCGTTGCAAACGAGCCATTTTTCCATTTCTTTGGTAGCGGGAAATTTCCAGAAAAAACTTTGCCACAACCTTCAGTCACATAATTTTTCAATGAAACTCCTAAGTTAGCTCCTACAGGCTTGTGTCCACGTGCGTACCAAGTTTCATACCATATCGTCATCTGCGCGTTGCAAACGAGCCATTTGAATTTACAACTTCATTTACCAATTTTGCAAAATCTTTGGAAAAAATGCTTATTACTCGTCCCGTTCACATAAGTTTTTCATAATTTTTCATACTTTGTTTCCACTAGCCTCTCTCCGTTCGCCTACAAAATCTGGTGTCATACCGTGACGCGTACATTGAGAACTAGTCATGTATGCCGTTACAAATAGCTCGTTTGAGTGACGTCGCGCGTGCGGCAATTAGCGACGGCGCGGTTTGACGCGCGCGAACTCCAGTCTTCGCATGTTGAGGCACATAACATGTTAAAATAAGCAGAGAACGTGCACTACAAATTTTTTTCCGGGGCTCCGCCCCGGACCCCGCAAAAACGATTTCCCCTTTGCTTTTTTTGCCGAAAACGATTTCCAGCTTGTCATTTGACAAGCTCGTGCCGGGCCCTGGCCTGCGGTATATCCTGAGGGCCTTTTGCGTTGCGTCGCTCCTAATTGCAGCCGCAGATGAGCTAGCGTTACCCAGCGAATTGAACCGTTCTCCATATTCTTCATAGAGAAGGATCAAAATTCGAATGATAAACGGATTTTGAAGATAAATTAGAAATATAATTTGAGGAAGAAGTGTTTGTAAAACAGAACCCAAGAGAAAGCAAAATAAAACGAAATCGATTTTTTTGGACAGTCGTTGACGGAAAATCTTCTTGTTTTCTTATCTAATCTCATATTCCACCTCTCTTAAACACTTTTTAAATCCAGCTTTTGATTCATATCATATTCAGCCTTCAATTCATCCCTGAGATTCATCCTTTTCTTCAATTTTTTTCATTGCATTTGTGCAGTTTGAACATCTTGAAGCGTACCAATAGAAAATAGTTTAATTCGCTGGCAAGAGCACCGATACTCCTGTGGCTGCAATTTGAGGCGACGCAACGCAAGTGGCCCTCAGGATATACCGCAGGGGAATGCGGCGTAGCTTTGCTCCATAACGACTGCCCCCCCCCCCAATCTCCTATAGGGGCCTGCAGGATCGCGAGAGTCGGATCGTGCGTACGGCCATTGCGCCGCGCACGTCCGATGTCACTAAGGCAGGTGCCAGACTTATCCTGTTGAACAGGTTCATTCGGTTCACCACCTTTGCTGTTGGACAGTGTTAGAATGATTCAAGAGTAATCAATTTGTCCCAAAACCTCTGATAAGTTTGCACAGAAAACTGCATCGAATCCGTTTTTAGAAAGTTTGCTCAGTCCTTTGAGTTGAGCACGACCTCTATTAATACTTCCAACATATAATTACCGTTTTCCTGTTCCAACAAGTGCCGCCGAAATCGTTATTGGAAGATTTGTTTTGTTTTGTTTTGTTACATTTCAAGCTTCTCTATTTCTACACTGGAGCGTTTAATTTGGAGTGCACCATAAGTTTTAAAAATGTCAGATATTTCAGCAAAATAGTGCGGCCGCCCTTATTCATTTCTCGAGTGCGTAATATGTTTCCTCTCCCCAAAACAGCTGTGCCAAATCTTTTCCGATGGATTATACTGCTTTTTTTCTGCTAAAATTTTATCATGCCTTTTTCCTGCCAGAATATCTAGCAAGAAGGTTGAAGTTTTCCAAATTCTTTCATGAAATGCTCAGCAAATGCTTTTATCTCAGATAAACTGCACTAAATCTATTTTTGAAAATGAAATTTTCAAAATAGATTTAGTGCAGTTTATCTGAGATAAAAGCATTTGCTGAGCATTTCATGAAAGAATTTGGAAAACTTCAACCTTCTTGCTAGATATTCTGGCAGGAAAAAGGCATGATAAAGCGCAAAGTCAGCGATGTTTTGAATTATCGTCTATCATACTGACCCACTCAAAAGCAACTTCATTCTGTGTTTTTAGCAGTAATTTGAGCACAGCTTTGATCGTGCAACTTTGTTGAACAGCGCGTCACTGAATTCTCTAAGAAAAAACATTGTTGACTCTGTGGAAGAGATCAGTGATTGATACAAATTCTCAAATCAGATGCTTAGCATCTGTGAAATTGCAACATGCCATTCAAGAGGTATTTATTTACAAACATCATTCATTCTGCAAATGTCTACTAATCAAAACGTGTCAGAGAGTGCATTTTGGACTATCAAAGTTTTCACTGCGCGCCTCAAATAACTGAAAAAAAAATTAGCGCTCTTCAAAAATCTTACATGCTTTTGTACTGACTTCGTGAGTATTTTTTCTACAATGGATGTATGAAAAATTTTCTGCTCAGAGTTTTCTGCTAATAAAAGCTCTAAACTGTCTATCCAGAAGTCATACGCTCTTCAAATGTGAATAACCTTAAATTTGTATATGGAGCGGAGATTTTAGGTGAGCAGCTCACAGCGAAACATCTTTGAGTAGGTCCATTCAAGAATTTGAATCAGTTGCTTGCTAACAATAAGATAATTTGAAGATTGGTGGATTTTAAGTACCTATGGATGAATCGCAAGGATGCTGGACAGTCTGAAAAGCCCTTACGAAATGCGATCGAGAGATTTGTCATAAAATCTTGAAGTGAAAGAGGAATTGTGCAAAAAGGTTACTGTGTGAAAAGAAAGAGGGAGTGTTCAATTTTGATGAACTCTAGATTTGGTTTGGATGTTGGCTAAATATTTTCAAAGACGTCAATTCGAATTTTCCTGCTATTTCAATTTCGGAAAGAGTAAGAGTCTGAGCAAGAACTTTTGGGGGAGTGGAGTGTTCTAAGGCAGCTTGGGAAGTTACTCAGTGTGAAAACAGGATCCGGGTGGGAAGAGCGCACGTGGCTGATAAAACTTTTTCGGGTATGGGCAGTCACTTGCTTCGGGTAAAGAGGAGCTGAGGGCGGGGGGGGGGGAATCTCTAGGAGATGTAGCGTGTGAACGGAACACAATAGTGAGATTGAACCTCGTTGGGTAAAAATCTCTAACATGTTTTTCATCATGTGTAACACCGAAATTAACGCCATGTTTGAATTAAGCAAGGCGAAAGTATGAACGGAACCGAAGTTCCCAAACGTGTGAAAATTACTCACGAGACCACTCGTGCAGCCATTCAAGTAAACTGAGATGGCGGCAGTTTTCATTGTTCTAAAAAGAGAGGAAACGTAACATTCTATATGCGTACTCGCAACACTGAATACGAGACGGTGCTCTGGAAGTCGTCGAGGTTTGGTGGTGTTCATTTTGAAATTCATATTTATTGGAATCTTTTTTCGGTTTTCAGAATAGCTTACTAAGGTCGTTTCGAAAATACATTTGAAATTTTGAAATAACAGTAGTATCTATCAACTAGGAGCCAAAAAAACTGCATGATCAGGTAATTTCGCATTGATACGCCTTTTCAAAAAAGTAATTTTGCAGCATCTACTTTGGTTTTGAAAACAGCTTTTCTAATATTTGATCCTACATAAAGCGCAAAGTCAGCGATGTTTGAATTATCGTCTATCATACTGAATTTTCACCGCTGATTTTATCAAGATCGCAGAACTGAATCATGCAACCGGTTCAACGTACTAGAAGGTCTATGTTTCATCGTTTCTAATAGTACAAAAAAATTACAGGTAACTTTTTTAACTACTGTGCATGACTAAAATCATTCTATTAATTTGAAAACGGAATTCCAAATGGAAGGTTTTCATAGCCAGAAACAAAAAGAGTTCGTGGCGTTCTATGTGTGCTCTGCTTTCCGAACTGCTCTACTATATCACTCAGCGCATTGCATGGTAATCTGCTTTATCTTTGATCAAGAATACTCCTGTGATTTATGCGGCTTGTTTGTTTTCTTTTAATTAATCGATGTATCTGCCCTTATTATTTATCTGCCCCCACCCACTTACTAGCGACCCGTAGGGTCGCTAGTCTTATATATAAAGCTGAATGTCTGTTTGTATGTATGTCTGTCTGTCTGTCTGTGTGTACGTATGTTCCGAATAGAAAATTCCATTTCTGAACCGATCCGGACCAAACTTGGCACACATACACTACGGGCCCCGGCGGGTGTCATAGGCTACTTTTCGTCATCGATCGATATCGATTTTATCGATTTTTATCGATTTTTTGCTGAGTTCACTTACGGGGCTGGGAGTTGGCACAGGGGGGTAATCGAGCATGGGGATTCCGAATACAATATTGGTTTTCAGGATTATCGATTACTTTTATCGATTTTATCGATTTTTTGCAAAGTTTGAGCTACGGGGCTGGGAGTTGGCACAGGGGGGTAATCGAGCATGGGGATTCCGAATACAATATTGGTTTTCAGGATTATCGACTACTTTTATCGATTTTATCGATTTTTTGCAAAGTTTGAGCTAGGGGGCTGGAATTTGGCACAGGGGTGCAATTGAGCATGCTGATCACCCCCCTTGGGGGGGTGATCAGCATGCGGTAATCGAGCATGCTGATCACCCCCAAGGGGGGTGATCAGCATGCTCAATTGCACCCCTGTGCCAAATTCCAGCCCCCTAGCTCAAATTTTCAAAAAATCGATAAAATCGATAAAAGTAATGGACGATCTTGAAAACTAATATGGTACTCGTAATCTGCATGCTCGATTACCCCCCCTGTGCAAAATCCCAGCCTCGCATGTCAAAATTTACAAAAAATCGATAAAATCAATAAAAGTAATCGATAATTCTGAAAACTAATATTGTATTCGGAATCCCCATGCTCACTTCCCCCCCTTCCTGTGCCAACTCCTAGCCCTGTAGGTGAACTCTGCAAAAAAATCGATAAAAATCGGTAAAATCGACATCGATCGATAACGAAAAGTGGACTTTGACACCCGCCGGGGCCCGAAGTGTATGTGTGCCAAGTTTGGTCCGGATACGGCGGAGCCGGGTAAGCCAGCTAGTAAGTACTAAAAGCGTTTTGTTTGGGTAATCTGTAGACATGACAAGTCGCCAAGTCGCATGGACGTAAGCGATTGACGAAACGGCGCTAAATATGCCCAGGCCTTAGTCCGTGTAGTGAAGCAGAATTGATTGCCGCATCCTAATTCGAATTAGACATACCTTTACGAACTATTAAACTATTAAACATTTACATCATGCTGGCCTGGAGATTCGTGGCAAAATTTTTCGAGCTGAGTTGACAACATCATATTGGGCATGAAGACCAGAAAATTGATATTCCAACAATTGTACTTATCAGCAGTATGCTCATCACTGTTGGGTTAGATAATCAGTACAACTTTGGAAGATTTTCGTTAACTTCGAAGGAAGAAAAATGACTTTGAAGGAAAGATGGTTGGCCGCCTGTGAACGCCAGGAGATCATACAAAAAGCTGCAAAATGCGGCTTGTACAGCTTCTTGTTCCTCTCCAATATGTTCATAGTGAGACAGTAGGAATAAGTACGGGTAGCTAAACAGCGTGAAATTCAGATATCTGAAGTTTCAGGATATGAAGCTTTCTTCTAAGCTGCGATCCCCTCCCAGCAGGGATATTAGTGTATGCCCATGTAAAAACTTGGAGCCAAGCGCCCTGCTCTAGCAAAAATTATGTCTCTTTAAGGCCCAGATCGAAATTCACCGTCAAATTACGTGTGCTTGTAAAAGTACAGTCACAGAAAATTGAGCGTACAGAATCAAACGTTCAGTGCTCTTCAAGATAGGATGATGTCTTTCAGAATGTCACAGTCTAAGGTCCGAAGAGGAGGAAAAAGGGGTGCTCGGAAGTTCTCATGGAAGGAGGGGGGGGGGGGGGAGTCGTTCTCGAAAGGCTTGTGCCTTACCTCTTGCTCAAGTGAAGTGCACGCCCACTTGTGGAACGGTTTCTGAAACATAATTTTTAATGGCTATATTATATATCTCTTAGTTCTCTACCTGCTTATGAACTGTAGTTTACCAAGAGTTTTTAGAATTAGTTTTATTTGGTGGCGCAATCCTTTGTTCGCAGTCTAACTGAACCTTCTCTGGAGACTGGGGACTGTTAGCTTGTTCATGTATAAGATGATATTGTCAAGCGGTGATCTTGATGCAGCAATGCTCTTGAGAATGTTGCTCTTTCAAAAAATTGCAATCAGTATTTTGCAAAATCAATTCAATATACATATTAATAAAGCTCAAAATTGTCAGTTCGGAGGCCATGTGCGTTATAAAAACGCGTCGACCCCTGCGCAGATGGTGGGTTACTTTTTGCGACGATTTAATGGGTCCTTCTATCGGTTTATTGATTTGTTTACGTTTTTCTGAGGAAAGGCCTATCATTTTAGCCAACCATTTCCCCATAGTCATGTAAGGATGGAGTGAAGCTCATTCTCACCCCAGGATCACGAGGATGCGGTGGGTAGGGGGGGGGGGGAACTCCGCCAGTTCTGGCCACCTCCGCGGACTACCGGTCCTGCAACACATGCAACAACATCACAAAAGGATCAGTTGCTAGTAGAGGCGGCTCAAAACTGGCGAAATTCGTTCCCCTACCCGGATGCGGTGAATAGAAGTGGATGCCGCAAGGTAAGCCATCTATAACATGGAAAGAGGGGGGGGGGGGGAAGGGTATCGTAATGCGGTAATCTTGCTCGTACCCATAGCACCTACTTCGTTCCCTGTGAACAATAGCCGGGCTGGACCGGGGAAAGCCAACTATTAGAGAAATAAAAGCAGCTTATGAAACTTCTGCACTTTGAGAAATTGTCTTGAATTTCGTGATTTCGACTTTCAAAGAGCTATTTTATGCTCGCTGTAGTATAATGCCACAAATGCAGAAAACCAATTTTATCTTAAGAGGATACTTTCGGCAATCATTCGTGTAACTTGATAGGGATCACAATTTGATGACGGTCGGCGGTCTTCCAAATATCCCTAGAATTTAGTATTAAGCAATGCTTATCACATTCTGACCTTTTACCTTTTTATTAAGAGCAACGCTGCGAGGTAGACGAACAGAAGCTGCTCGATTAGCCACACCCCAATTGAATTTGTCGTAAGAGCTGGTTTCATGTTTACCAGTTAGTCTGGAACAGAATAGATCAGAAAAGCACTACTTCAATATCGTTTTATTTACTATTATATAAGAAAACTTGAAAAGATAAACTAATAGAAGCTTCGTCAACAGCGGCACTTCACTAAAAATGGTCGCCTACTTCTGACTTCAAGGGTATAAGACTTTAAAGACGGCGGAGACGCCGAGTCAATCTAATGAAACTCTGTAGCAATCTTGGCCTTAGCTACAACCTCTACTACAGGTTCATCAATAGTTGTCTTATTAGCGGGAACCATTTGAAAGCTCCCAAAATCCTTTAACGGTCCATTCCTCATGCTTTTGATTCCTTTGTGATTCTCAACGCTTTACATTAAATGGAATTAGGTAAGAGCGAAAGATAAAAAGAACACCTGTATTTGTTATCTTCACCGTCATGAGGATCATAAACGCGAATGCATTCCTTGTGAGTTGCTTCTAGCTTGGGCATGGCCTAAAAAGTGATGATCTGGAATGTACGTAATAGTGCGAATTAATGCGGTGGAGAAGCTATGGCAGAATAAGGGCAAAAGAATGTGTAGAGTTCAGTTCCAGAACTTGAATTAAGGTAAATTTTTATTTATAATGTCTTCATGCGCCAAGCAACCTACTGCACATTTTCAAACTGATAGTGAATCTTTGTAAACATACCGCTTCAATAGCTTTTATACCTCCTTCAGAACGCATTTCTTCAGTGGAAAAATTGCAATGTGCTCCTGCACCATTCCAATTTCCTCGAGTGATCTAGATATAAAAGAATAATATCATCTTGACATTCAACACGCTGATAGGGCTCACAGCAGGTTTTGGATGAAAGGTGACGGTAACTCCAAATTGTTCAGCAACTCTATGCAGAAGATATCGTGACATCCACAACTGATCGCCCATTTCGATACCTCTACACTCTCCAAGTTGATATTCCCACTGTCCAGGAGTAACTTCTGCAATTATTGCAACTACTTGAATGAATCTATGTCGATAGTTGTGCCTCTGATTCACAGACTAAAGCAGTAAATTCTATTTGTCGCTTATTGAAACTGCGTTAATCCAGCAAAATCAGAAGTTCAATCACTGATTCAGTTTTGAATTAATCATCAACTTGCTCTTGAGCAACTGAGCGATTTTTTTTTTATATATTTTTTATATTATTTTTTTTTATTTTGCAACTAAATTTTTGAAAAATTCTCCTGAACAACGTACCAGAATTGATACCAAATAGCGCCAGACCCGCATACAAAGATGCACGATAGTGTGTATTCACTATCTCACGTCCAAAAATACGATCACCGCCGACAGCACAATAGTATGGTCCTACAAATACGAGTTATTTATGCTGGGAGCAATATTTTATTGTTGTAACCTTGTGGTTTGGGAAAGCCAAATTTCGGCCATCCCAGTGGATGCCCGTCTCGATCCAAGAATAAATATTCCTGCTCCATTCCAAACCATGGAACAGTATGATCTATTTTATCCATAACTTCTTTACATTTGTGACGATGATTGGTTGCTGTAAGCATAAACTCACTGAATGCAACAAAGAACCTTTCAGATCTTCACCTGCTGGTTGGCCTTGCGCATCTAATACTTCGCAAAGAACTAATTTGTGATTACCGCCAAAGAACGGGTCAGGATAAATAGCCGCTGGCTGCAAAAAAAGTCATCAATGGGGTAAAATAGTAAAATTACTGGGTCAGTTCTGTAGATGACTTACTACTAGAATCATGTCAGAATTCTCTCCTTTGGAAGCTTGATACGTAGAAGAACCGTCGAAACTCCACCTAGGATAATCTGCAAATAGACTATTTTATCTTTAACAAGTCTTCTCTCCCTCACTTTGTACACCGCCAGGGTCTTTCTTTAAAGTTCGCGTCTTTTCTCGCATATTTTCTCCAGTTCCGTCAATCCAGACGTAGGTTGCCTGCAATTACGGCAATGAGCTTGTTCATCCAGGTTAGCTCAAGCTACTTTGAATAATTATGCTGACATCACCTTCTTGAATTCATAAAGCCTTCCCAGACACTCATGAAAATTTCAGCTTTTCGATTTTAGCAAGTTTCGGCTTCCATTTCCCACCTTTTCGGAGCCTTTTCGCCTTGAGGAATCCATATCTGGGTTTTCAGTGCATGAATGGCGGAAAAGAGCTATACCGGAAGCTTTCCAAGTCCGCAATCAGTGGAGAATACGTGTAAATGGACAGTGCCCGCAAAGAGTGAGGCTGAGAAGGCCCGAAAGACTGGCCCGAAAGACTTCCGGCGTATCTTTACCGAATACGGTCATGGAAAGCCTCGGAAAAAGCTCCTTTTCGCCATTACCACGCACTGAAAAGCCCAGATACATTAGGTCATCCCAAAAGTTTTTTCGTATTCGTACCTTCAAAATGATATTTCTCTAAAACTAAGGTATCTAGAAGGGTGCAGATTTGTGGGAGTATTTTTGAGTGAATAAGCTATATAATGACACATTTGCGAGGAACATAGACTCATTTCAGGCAAAGTTCAAAAATTGAGCGCTTTATTTTTTTCTCGATTTCTAGCCGTCAGAAAAATGCAGCAAGTGTATATATAATTGTCTGATGGGGAAAATATATGCGTGAGCAAGTGGGAACTTTGCAGAATGTTTTCAAACTAAGATACGATTTTTTTTGTTTTTTCGGAATTTTGGATTTTTTTCCATTTTGTCTTGAAACTCGATGCGGATCAAGCCTGGTGCGAACTTTTGAAAGTCATATTGTAGAGCTTGCTTTACTCTTTCAAATGGTACTCCGCTTCTCATCAGAAGTCTAAGAAGAGCAGACTTACGCTGGTGAAAAGTTTGATATGAAAAAACTTTTGGGATGACCTAATAGATTCCTCATGGCGAATTTGCTCCGAAAAAGGTGAAAACCTGGAAAACTAAACTCTTCCGATAATGGTCTTTAAGAATTCTTTTACATCTTTTCTCGCATTCTCTAATTTCATCTATAGAGTCGCGTAATTTTTTAATACGAGGATATTCAAGTTAAAGCATTCATACACGGTAAATCAAGCCCTAGATACTGTGCTTTCAACGAAATCGGACAGAGTTTGCCAGAGTTGCCAATGTTGGAAGTGTTGCCGATGTTGAAAGTGTTACCAGTATTAAAAATGTTGAGTGTCGTAAGTGTTGTCGGTGTTGAAAGCGTTAAATGTAGGAGTCATTAGTTTTGCAGTCTCATTCTTCCTCAACCGATTTTGCATATTGCTGAGTAGGACTTTTGCTTACTGATCGCAGAGGCGCCGGATCCGATATCGAACACGCATCACGTTGGATTTTAGCAGCGTTTTCAAAACCATTGGAGATTGCCCACGTCACGCAAGCCCTCTATGTTCCAAAAGGTTTGCATGAGAATCTTTTGATACTAGAGCATTTCTTGAAGTTTTAGGCATCAGAAAATTTGAAGTCTATGCGACGATATGTGAACTTTGGGTAGACCTTCCGAGCTCCTAATCTCCAGAGATCAGCAGCTGCTGACGATGTTAAAAGTACTTTCCTTTTCTTTTATTTTTGCTCGCTCCGTTTGGTTGAGGAAGGTTGAGACTGCAAGAGTAATGACTTACACATTTAGTATTTGTGCAACACTGGCAAACTTTGACCGATCGCATAGCTTCCTCCTATTATACTGGGATGATCCTTGTCGAAAGCAGGTGGAGAGTTGCACATAGTTTGCTTTATCCAGTTTTCTTCTGTCATGATTCTTGACTCCGTGCAGAGCTAGGATGGTGTTATAAAAGTGCTATTCACAAATCACACCATTATGTTATGGCAACAGCTCCGTAATGTTTCCAAGCAGGGCGAACTTGAAATTCATGCTTATTTCGCTTCAGCTACGCCTTTTTACCACACCTTCAATGACCACGAGACAAAATGAGCTCCACTTCCCATGCTTACATGAGTCTTGAGAGTGTATAGAAGCGGATAATTTTCATTTATCTACCAGAAACAGAAAAATCGGTTAGCCTTCGAAGAGAACCAGAAGGTTTCTGTCCAAAGTGAAACATCGACGGTGTGTGAAACCCTAGTATGCAGCGGCTCGCTCAAATTAGAGCTCAAAAATCCTACAAGCGAGATCCCAGTGCAGCCTTCAGCTTCACTGGTTTTTTGGAGCCACGTGCTTCCAATAAGACTTTTTATCGCTATAGAAACTAACAAAGTATCTTCAGGTCAACTTTTCTTCTTTTACTGTAAGTTGAGGGGAAAGAGGGCAGCGAAACAGATTTTAGTCTGCTTAACTGGACTTTTTATGTCGATCCAACGAAGTGATTGGATGGAAAAATTGACTAACCAAAATCTTCTCTCCTTTGACTGGTATGCCCATGTTCATGTCAACGCTGGGTTGAGCAAGTGGTAAGTTGACGTTGAATTCTCCATACCAACGAGCAGATTGCAGCAGCTTAGTGGATTGGCGCGCCTATAAATATGTGAGATTTCATGGCAACCTTCAGTCCTGGCGACAAACCTGCATCAAACGGTGCAGGACAATTCGAGTAGTTGATAACATCTTGATGAGATGATCAGCTTTCGAGTAATTTAAAGACAGAATGAATTTCTCTGAAGCAATATCTTCATTTCATAGCAGTGATTGTTTGATAGCATATCAAATTTGCGAAAGCTTCATTTTCATATGGACGAGAGGTGGTCTGTTACTTCCTTACTGGTTCATCAAGATCAAATAAATAATCTCATTGCAAATTATTCATGAAATTTATGGTAATGGCAAACGAATCTAGGAGGGTGTTGTCACCTTCAGAAAGGCCAGGGCGTGGTCTTTCCACGAAAAAAAAAAACGTCCAGCTCATGAGCTACTTTTTTAGAATTTCCCAATTTTTCGGTGCATTCCAGGAATAAATACTATACTATATAAATACTATTGACTACCAAAATTAGGAAAAGTTTGACGAACTTCAAAATGTCTATCGCCGCATTCATTCTTTGAACCTCTCTTGCTCGTACATATTAGATTGCCCCATAAGTCTTTTCATATTCGGACCTTGAATTCGATGCTTTACAAGAACTTGGGCACCTAGTAGGCTGCAAAATTTTGGCAGTAACTCTGATTGATTAACTATGTAATCACCTGTTTTCAGGGAACACAGAACTGAAACGGGCAAAGTTTGAAAATTGACCGCATTATTTTTTCTTAATTTCTAGCCATCAGAAAAATGCAGCAAGTGCATGTATAAATATCTAGGAGAGTATAAGCACAAGAAAGTGAAAAATTTGCGGAGCTGATATGAACTGAGATATAATGGTTTTCGTTTTTAGAAAATTCGAAGAAAAAATTTTATTTTGGCTTGAACTTGTTGCGGATTAAGCTTGGTGCAAACTTTTGAAAGCCATCTTGTAGAGCTTGCTTTGATCTGTTGAATGGTACTCCCATTCTTTAACATCTCAAGAAACACTGATTTATGTCACTGAAAGGTCAGGTAGAAAAGACTTATGGGACAACCTGATAGTTAATGGCATCATGAAATGCAAGCTGAACAAACAGTCGCACGATTCTGAACTCGAGTAGAGGTTCATTACCCTGACCTTCGCAAGCTATCGAGCTTGTCTGCTTCTATTAGCGATATCATTTTAGATTATGAGATAGACTTACTTGTTTCGGTTCGGCAGCATCAGTTTGCAGTACACCGCAAATGCAAAAAGGCAGCGCATTCATTCTCAGGATATCCCTGTTACTTAGGAAGTCTTGGAATCTAATCTATGTTGTTATTGAAAAAGTTAGCTAGTTTTCACATGATAATCAAAATTTTGCGCCAACTCTTTGATAAGAATGAAATGTTATCATAAGTTGTTTCTCACTCTTATTATCGAAAAAAATTGACGATCGACGTTTTTAGAGGTTTTCTAGCTGCAGAAGCAAAGGGGCGAACAAGGATTGTCTAAAGCTTCGCTCACAATACTCTTGGAAATACGGAACAAACAATATATTTTTCAAAGGGAATACATTTGCAAGAATGCCCATTTCAATGAAATTCAAAGAATTACAATGACAAATCAGTCGAATTTTTAGGTACAATGCTATCTGGATACAGTCCAGGATGTCCTCGGTAGTGAACTTTTTGCTAAGCTATACTTGCGTTGAACTAAAAAGTATAAAACCCTGGTGAATGATCCGTTAAAGCATTTGGAAGAGTGCAACTATGGCAATACGCCATGCAATGGTGCGAATAGCTTTTTCCGCTGAATCTCAGGTATAGGGCCGAGCATACTTCATGCGACTTCAGTCGCGACGCGATTTGGCAATATTCCAACTATGCATAACTCACTGTAAGCACATTCCAAATGTACAGAAGATTGGGCATTTTATTAATTTACGTAAGCTGTACATACTATGCATATGCAGTTTGCTACAGTTGGATCTGAAGACTTCTGGCGAATTGCCAAATCGCTTCGCGACTGAAATCGCGTGAAGTATGCCCGGCTCTTATCTAGTCTGAGAGAGAATGATAGCTAAATGGAAGTAGCATTCATCTAAAAATGATCTCGATTTCAATGGAAATAAGGGCCGAGGAATTTTGATGAGCGTGAGTTTTTTGAACAAGATTCTACCCCAAAGATTAAACGCAGGTATTCCGGTAGACCATCTTATTTCCAGCACCGTACTTGAAAATTTGACTGTTTCTGAACTGCATTGTAATTCTTTCCACTTCATTGATCTGGATAGTCTTGCAAATGTATTCACTTCGAAAAATCTATTGTTGGTTTTGTAAATCCAAGAAACTGTAATTGTAGGCGAAGCTTTAGACAATCTTTGATTGTTCGTCTCTTGCCCTCGCATATTTCGTTAAACAATGAGTCTCATGCAAAATACTGACTAACACCCTTCTGAAGTTACAACTCCATGCGGAAGATTTCAAAAAAGAACGATTTTACATGATTTCTCAAAAGCAGTTGTACACGTTTTCTTGACTTCCCCTAGCCTTAAAACCTCTCCCGGCCCTGCTTTGCAAAAAGCTCAAGAAAAGCCAATTTATATGGATGGAAGAAGGAGAGGACCAAAGAGGGCATAAAGAAGATGCAAACCAACGCAAAAAGCGGAGAAAAAGAGATGTGGAAATTTAAAATCTCGAATTTTCACTCACTTGTATATCACGCTATCTTATGGTCTTATCTACAAAAATGCTAGACAAAGATATGTGCTGCGATGTTGCAGCAAAGATTCGGCTATACAAATACTGCTGCGCACATAAATAATCGATGTTGGGTTGTGGCCAAAAATCGTGGAATTCCCTACTGCAAATTGAGGTTCAATGGGTCAAAGATTCAACACTCCCCCGCTCAAAAAAGAGGAAATAACTCACATATTGTATGCATGAAGAGCTATTTAATACGTGCAAATATTGACTTCCCTGCAACTTCATAACTTTGTCTATCCAAATAGATCATTTCACATGTTCATTTTTTTCCCAGAGGGGTTCCTTTTTGGGAGAAATTGTGCTATTGCATCTAACAATAAGGTCCAAACCACGAACGCAACATGCAAAATGCATACAAGAAGCAAGAAAAGAAGTGTTTTGCAAGTCAACAGCTAATACTTGAAATAACTCGCCTCCGCCAAAATTGTCTGAAAAGTAAATGTTTACATGTTGCTCTACTCATTCCAAAAGAGTGGTTATATAATACAAACGGAAATGATGCTAACCGTAAGTTCTTTGGAGCATGAAACATTGCACCGTTTGAAATCAACTAAGATGTCACTTGAAAGAACCTCGCAAAATGATATGTTTAGGGACACAAAGTGTTCTTTTATGAATTGAAATGAATTTTTAATTCGGAAAGGTCTAGTTGTAACAAAAAATATTTTCACTCATTAATCATTTTGATCCGTCTTCAAAATACGCGTTTCGACAGGCAAGTACTTGCGTGGAAATTTATCATCATTCCTTCATTTGTTCTCAAAATAACCTTTATATATAGCTGGGTTCAATTTCAAGAAAACTCAAATGATCGTCGAATTATGATAGGAAGATTACTAGTCGCTCCAAGCCCCCCAAAATCTGAAAAAAATCTGGTTCAAGATTCAGTAAGATTTTTTGATTGAAGGGTTGTTCTTGGCATTGCATTTGACCACGATTATGGTGGGTTTGTCGTTATCTCTTTTTTTTCAAATTTTGAAGTCCTCTTCGTACAAATGTTTGAAAGCATCAATAAGCAATAAGCTTTATGATCTCTTTTCACCGGTTTGGAAAAACAAACGATGCTAAACAATAACCAGATCCTAAAGAAATACTAATAACATGCTAATAACAGAATGATACCTTAACAAAACTACATCAGGAAGAAGAAATATGCAGGAAAACCACAGAATAAGCAATCGCTACTAAGATAATTTATCTAAGGAAGATGCTCTCAACAATCATTCGTGTCACTTGGTACGGATCGCAATTCGATGATGGACGTCTATCCTCCAAGTAGCCCTAGAAATTCAATACATTGTTTGTTTAGTAACCCGACAAGATCTAGGATCAGTTGCTGATGGTTATCGAAAAGTTCAATGCCAAATAAAATCAACATGATAATGGAGCCTTACACAAAGAGTCCTAAAGAGAAGCTCGATCTTGTCTCGACAAAAGTATGGATCCAGTTGCGAAAAATAACGCAATAACATCATTTACAATCCATAATTTGCTTGTTTCAGCAGAAAATGACTGATGTTTTCAACCTAATTCCAAATCCCATGCAAATGTCGCGCTATACCCGACTTACAATATAAACTAAAAATGTCCAACAAATCTTGTGATAGTTCACTTTTTCAAATGCACATGAAGATGAGGACTTTGCTTCCCTATTTTTTGAAATTCTCCTTTCTCCTAATGAATGCATGTAAAAACGGGCTACTGTTTGTTTACAAAGATACTTACGCAATGTCTATAATGGTCGGAGTACTCTACGTAATAATTTGGATTAATCCCTTTACTCAACATTTTGTGGTGAATTAACCGTCATTTCCAAACTTTTTCTCAAGCATACACTTTTCCGCTGTAGCGCAAGCAAAATAAGGCCCAGTTACTCCGAGGGAATCCCATACTACTGCTGGATCAACGTAACTTCTTTGATGAAAAATGTGGAAAGATCTCGCTCTTACCTTGCCAGCAATCGCAACTCCTCTCGGGATTCTCACCGATGCAGCTCTGTTAGCGACTCCCCATGTGAATTTCTCAGCTGAGCTTGTCTCATGTTTTCCAGTCAACCTTGAAGTATAGACTGTTCAAGAAAGCAGGAAGAAAGCATCCATAGTCGAGTAGCCTACTGTTCGAGGTGTAAATTTCTTAAAAAGGCTTTGACATTTCCCACAGGCCATTTCCCACACATTTGTGTGCGAAACGAAGGCATTTTTTTCTGGCTAAAAAAGGGGAGCTATGAAAATACTGAATATTTTTTCTGAAAAAACTGGACTATAATGATGGTTTCATTATTCTGCCCGCGTAACTGTGTACTACTGTGCAATTGCACGAATTATCATAGGAAGCCACTCGGCTATGAACTTAACATCAGACAGAAGACATTACAACATCGTTAGCAACCTACCTGAGCTTGTTGTCCTCGCCACCATGCGGATCATAGACAGTAATGCATTCAGCATGCGTTGCAGCCAACTTGGGCATTGCCTAAATGGTTTCTTAAAGTTTTTGGAAGTAAGAAACTTAGAACTTTCGCAGCTTTTCGTGATTCTACATTTCATTTTTTTTCAATTTTGTGTTTCGTTGACCAATCACTCTAGGTGACAAAAGAAGTAAAATGAGAAATAATCTCAAGCTCCGGATCCCGGGATCTTTCGCCTCTTTTAAGAGATTACCTTTATTTTCAAAGTCTCCTAAATAGGAGATACCACTAAATTCTAGAAGTTAAGATCAGATAATTTTAGCGCAATGACGATTCCTCAAAAAATCCAGGTAGCATTCGGTAGCTTTTCATCTTCTTTCAAGTGATGCTGTCTCACTACTAACCATCAAGATCTTATTGTTAGAAGATCAGCGTCTGCAACCCATAGTTTTGTCAAAGTCGATTTTTTTGAAAAATTCATACACTCTTCGGAAAGGCATTCAAGTTAAAGTCGGATAGAGAATACCCTAAAAGGAAACGATCTTCATACTTTTTCATTTCGAAAGCTCCAGCTATTCAGCAACCTTTTTCGAAAGCGTTGACATCCCGCAATGAGAAAAATATGCGCGACATCTCACATCAGTTCTTAAAATTCTAGTCTTTAGGCTTTTGATGCTTATTACTGAACTTTAGATAAGCGACATTTTCGAACTTCACTCATGTCTGAAAATGAGGTTTTAAGATGTTCATGCAACTATGGGCTAATTTGGTATCAAGGACCAAAGTTTTTTCAGTAGGGAAATATACCATTAAAGAGTCGGAATTGTTCAACAGTCCGGAAAAAGCAACGCCTAAGGTGGGTTACACAATTTTTGCCGGAGGTCCGAGACAAAAATTTGCAAAGTACTGAAATTGAGGCGTGCTCGGGGGTGATCACATAGAAACTCTAGCACTTTCTGGAAAACTGACGATTAATAATGCCAAATTGATAATGAAGATGAAAAGCCGTACCGAATACATCATATGTACACAGATTTAAACTGACGGATCTGCCCGTTCAAAAAAATGCGAAATTACTTTCGGAACGACTCATTACTGCAAATTCCACAATTTTGGTCAGGAAATCTTACAGTTTTGCAACAAAAAATTTTTCTTTCATAGATACTAGTGAACCAGTAATCAGTAATGGTTTGTAGGCGCGCTCGCTTCGGAACCCTCTCGGTTTCCCGCTATCTGATGATTTTTCAATGCACCTTACGATTATTTATATATTAGATACGCGAGGGATAATAATAAACTCTATTAATGTTTAAATCTTATATATAAAGCTGAATGTCTGTTTGTCTGTCTGTATGTCTGTATGTCTGTCTGTCTGTCTGTGTGTACGTATGTTCCGAATAGAAAATTCCATTTCTGAACCGATCCGGACCAAACTTGGCACACATACACTACGGGCCCCGGCGGGTGTCATAGGCTACTTTTCGTCATCGATCGATATCGATTTTATCGATTTTTATCGATTTTTTTGCAGAGTTCACCTACAGGGCTAGGAGTTGGCACAGGGGGGGAAGTGAGCATGGGGATTCCGAATACAATATTAGTTTTCAGAATTATCGATTACTTTTATTGGTTTTATCGATTTTTTGTAAATTTTGACATGCGAGGCTGGGATTTTGCACAGGGGTAATCGAGCATGTTGATTACGAACACAATATTGGTTTTCAGGATTATCGATTACTTTTATCGATTTTATCGATTTTTTTGCAAAGTTTGAGCTACGGGGCTGGGAGTTCGCACAGGGGGGTAATCGAGCATGGGGATTCCGAATACAATATTGGTTTTCGGGATTATCGATTACTTTTATCGATTTTATCGATTTTTTTGCAAAGTTTGAGCTAGGAGGCTGGGAGTTGGCACAGGGGGGTAATCGAGCATGCTGATCACCCCCAAGGGGGGTGATCAGCATGTTCGATTACACCCCTGTGCCAAATTCCAGCCCCCTAGCTCAAATTTTCAAAAAATCGATAAAATCGATAAAAGTAATGGACGATCTTGAAAACTAATATTGTATTCGTAATCTGCATGCTCGATTACCCCCTGTGCAAACTCCTAGCCCCGCAGGTCAAACTTTACAAAAAAATCGATAAAATCGATAAAAGTAATGGACGATCCTGAAAACTAATATTGTGTTCGTAATCAACATGCTCGATTACCCCTGTGCAAAATCCCAGCCTCGCATGTCAAAATTTACAAAAAATCGATAAAACCAATAAAAGTAATCGATAATTCTGAAAACTAATATTGTATTCGGAATCCCCATGCTCACTTCCCCCCCTGTGCCAACTCCTAGCCCTGTAGGTGAACTCTGCAAAAAAATCGATAAAAATCGGTAAAATCGACGTCGATCGATAACGAAAAGTGGACTGTGACACCCGCCGGGGCCCGAAGTGTATGTGTGCCAAGTTTGGTCCGGATACGGCGGAGCCGGGTAAGCCAGCTAGTTGAGTATAAATAGCGTTTGGATACGATATCTGTTTCACTTTTACGCCATACAATAAAAACTTTTACTGTTTTAGGGAATGGCATGTGACTAGGAAACTTTAGCACAAAGAAATATGGCTTCTGTAATTTACAAAAAAATCTTTTGATTTATATGTCACATGTGAGCGAAACTCAATCAACAACTATCAATGTTACCGTAAGACAAATGTGAGATGACGTACGTATTCGCAAAACGTTTGGGAAACTCCTCGGGAAAACCCGCTGCCGGTTGACATCATAAAATGATTAAAAAAAATTGATTGACATCTTCTGTTTGAATGTTGACAGCATCGTAAATCATGGAAAAGATGGCATTGCCCTTTCTCTCCGTAATTGTACCTGTTTGGGGAAACCCCTTCTGCCCCTTCTTTGATTGACAATCTCCAACGTGAGAAAATAACTGTGCAATGGTTAATCCTATTTTCGACCATTGTAAAGCTGCTTAGTGTTCTGTGGAAGGTCTGATCTCTATGAGTTCTGACATTCTTGTCAAAGATAAGATTGGAAGATGAAAAATGGTAGACCAGCGAAAGTTTCTTGTGCAAACAATGAAAATACCTTCCCCCTTCTTAAATTGGCCTATAAGATGCTTTAGTGCAACCCGCAATGGCCGTAAGGATGAACGCAGAAGATGCTTTTATTCTTCTTACTATGCACTAAGTCTTTTCTGTATTGCAAATAATTCTCACCTCTTCAATAATCTTCAGTCCACCCTCCGCACGCATCTGATCTGTAGAGAAGTTGCAATGGCATCCAGCACCGTTCCAGTCACCCGCCGTTACCTAGAAAAAAAAATCAGATAAATCGGCGAATATAGAACTTTTTGCTTCTCCAATGGCTTTCGCATAGATAAGTTTAGATTAGACCGACTCAATCAGCAGCAAGATCTCATACCCTAACAGTACCGTGATTCTTAAATTTTCCATTCGTCTACGAGGTGCAGACGGAAACTACCTTGGAGTAAAAGACTGAGAAAACTTGAAATTGCTGATAAAACGTTCGGAATATTTATGTTGCAATTATTCAATGGGCGCCGGATGTTTCTCAGCCTTGGGCCCTCTAAGGATACATATCAAACAATACAATCTACAAAATGGAAGAATGTCTGGAACATAAGTATTCCGATCTCTACCACTTCCTTCATAGTCTCTACAGTTATCCACACGGCCTTCTATCCACAGCTGACTTTTCGGAGCCACGATCCGTGGTCATCCTGAGGGGAAACCATCGCTCGTAACACTTACCCCAGAAGATCATCAGCTAAGGAACACGGATTTGTTATTAGTGACCCAAGACCAGCACAATGATATGCATCACGTGTGGGAACCCCACTTCGACCGAGGGTCCTTCCCTTGTGAGATTCGAATTTTACGATGGGACACATATATTTGGAATCAACTTCTAATGCTGATTCCAAATATGCTGTCTTTAGCTGCGGCGCATTATTCAAAAGCAGTTATGAGCTTTTTTGCACGAAAACGGCATATCATTCCTCATGGGAGAGCTGCTTGTAGATGGAAATTTGCCTTAAAACGGTGTGGGATATTAAAATGGTGTGAAACCTATGGATCTAAAATGCTTACAGCTCCAAGTAACCTCCTCCGCCCACCCACTCATCCCCTCCTGTTTCTCGACATAATTCCCTGATTGATTTTCACAACTTTTGCCGCATATCGATAATTGAAACTGCTCACAGTACTGAGGACGTTAATCAAAGAGTTTCCTACCGCTTACGATTGTTTGGACAACTTTTGCCGAAACTGTCAGCTTTCGCCTACTAATCCTAGATTATCACTAACACGATAACAATTCTGTGGAGGCATTTGTCAAGAATTGCAAACGTGGCAGAGCTTCGTCCTCCAAGACGATAGAGGAAAGATATGCAAAAAGAAGAAAAAGTTAAAAATTGAAACATTAAGAGGTTTTGAGACTTTAACAAAAATCTTCAAAAGTAGATCACTTGACATCTGGCTAAACGCATTCTTCTTTTTTATTCTTCGCTTCCCTTCTTACAATTTAAACTTTTGGCTCTGATACTCACATGTGGTCTTGGATGGAAAGTGACGGAGACACCAAATTGTTCAGCTATTCTGTGTAGAAGATATCGTGCCATCCACAACTCATCTCCCATTGCTATACCACGACAATTGCCCAGCTGGAATTCCCATTGCCCTGGTGTCACTTCTGCAAAGCAGATCCACTGTCACTAAATGGGTATTCATAGTCTTTCTTGTCACATGAATGCAAAGAAAAATGTATCTAAATAAATGTAGCAGGAAACCTTGAGTAACAGTTTTTAGTGTCATGACTTCCAGATTTATGGCAGTTTATCTGCCATTATTATTGTTCTTATGAAGGATGTTACAGTGATGCAACTGGTTTGCACTGTTGAAGGATTTGCTGCACAACATTACGAAAACCCAATTCTTTTCAAAAAATCTTCTAGAGATCATGCAGTATCAATGGAAAGAAAGTAACAGTTGAGTATCTCACACAAATTCGGGAACTCTACTGCAAGGGTAAATGAGCAAATTTTTGCAAAAAAATTTTTTATTGTTAAGAAGAAAAACTACACTCACTGCGGTTAACCTACACTTCGATTTATAATTGGATTCGCAACTGATTTTCTATATTATTTGACCAGAACGAGGTGAAAATTTGACAGATTTGACCTTAGGCTTTACTGAATAAAGGTTCCAAAACCTACAAGCACAAGACAACAATTTTTAAAAACTTTGTTATTTCTGCATGCCTTATGTGCATAATGTTTACCTTCAGAAAACCTCTGCAATGAATACCAAATTTATTGCGACTGCTGAATTTTCAGAAGAGTTGTCAGCTAACAAGGGAACCATGTTTAGTCGAAGTGGCCTTTTTGTTTAAGTGTATACCATAATAAAGAGCACAAAATGCTGATTCCAAATCTGTCTTCCTTATCTGCGGAGCGCTTATGGACAAGGAGTTATGAGCTTCTATTTGAGCGGAAAATTACATGTGTAAATAAGATAAAAGATTGTCGTAAGGTTTTTTCTAGAGCTTTGAAGGCAGCGTCCAGGCAGATGTGGACCTATGGGGCTTTTACTGGAAAGTACTTTTGGGGCCCTAACTAAGGCACTGCCCAAGCGGCGGCTCAGGTAGTGCTCTAATGGCTGAGATATTCCCTCGAAACTGGCCACCGCGAACGTATTCGCATGGATTCATGGCAGTTTCGCGCCAGGACCCACGCTTTGCGCCATGAATCCATGCGAAACACGGTCGCGGGGTCCAGTTTCGAGGGGAATATTTCAGCCAATACAGCACTACCTGAGCTGCCGCTTGGGCAGTGCCTTAGTTAAAGCCCCAAAAGTACTTCCCACGTAGAAGCCCCATAGGTCCAGATCTGCCTGGACGCTGCCTTTAAAGGAGCAGACAGGATTATCAGAACACTTAATTCAATAAATACTTTCAGATGAAAAATTGTAACATTTGGTTGCTTTATTTAAGGGCTAGGGAGGTTTTAGCAACTCATTTTATTCTAAATGGACTTTTCTTTCTTTCTTCAACAAACTCTGATGACTTCTCGTCCATGAAAGTTCCGCAGATAAGAAAGGCAGATTTGGAATTAGCATTTTATGCTTTTCAATATGGTTTATATCTCATTTAGAAAGGCCACTTCGGATAAACAAAGTTCCCTTGTAAGCAAACCTTGAGTTACTTGATTTGCAAGGCAATGCTGCACACTACTATTACTCTGACTTTACCTCAACACCCATTTTTCATGAATTTCAATCGGTTAGTACTCACCCGCATTTATTCCAAAGATGTGTAGTCCAGCATAGAGGCATGCACGATAGTGAGCATTTACAATTTCACGTCCAAATACTTTGTCTGCACCCACACCACAGTAATACGGACCTATAAAGGGATTTCCTTAGGTTCTAGGGTCTTAAAATTGAATTCTTATGGGGAGAAGATCCCAGACAGTCGATTGTGAAGTGAGAGCTAAATTCAGCAATGAGTAGTTCTTTTCTACAGATGTTTTGCCAACCTTGTGGAGCTGGGTAACCATGCTTAGGCCATCCAAGTGGGTAGCCATCTCTGTCGAGGAGCAGATACTCTTGTTCCATTCCGAACCAAGGATTCAGATGATCGATTTTTTCCATCACTTTGGCGCATGCATTACGATGATTGTTCTCTGTTTCAAGGATTGGAAGCGTTTCATGGAATTTCACCTTGCCAGTGAAGCTACTTACTGGTGGGCTTATTTTTGGCGTCAAGGGTCTCACAAAGAACGAGTTTGTGATTACCGCCAAGGAATGGATCTGGGTAGATTGCGACAGGCTAGAATTTTCATGATTTCTCTTTGGAAACTATGAGTTCATTACAACAACATTCTCTATCCGAGAATTTATTGGGAGTTCGTTATGGCTCACCTGCAGCTGCATGTCCGAATCTTCACCCTTTTGAGCCTGGTATGTTGATGATCCATCAAAGCTCCACTTGGGATACTCTAAATAAAAAAATTGTAGCCAACTGCCACAACCCGTTCGAACATTTTCTTGATTCAAGTATAATTATTATTTAAGAGTCCAAATGACATTAAAACGATTTTTTACCAAAATATATTTTCATGGTTTTGCTGTTCTGAAAATGGGGCAAGTCCAGCCTGCAAATTTACAAGCCTATAAACTACGACCCTATTCATTGCGGGGTTGCCCTAGCCCCCACTAAGTGATCTGATGACGCATCAAAAGCAGCATGACTGCAAAGTACGCATTTAGTTTTTGCCAGCTGTCACATTGTCTCAACGTAATAGTCATTAATGAAAAGAATAGAACTCACTGCCTGCCATTCCTGGATCGTTCTCAAGCGTTCGAGTTTTTTCTCGAAGGTTTTCTCCCGTTCCATCAATCCAAATATAGGTTGCCTAAGATTGAGCTTTGAGTTAGGGTAAAATCTAGAATTATTTTTATGGGAAAGAACCACGCACATATCTGGAACAAAAAAGGTTGTTCTTTGTGGTAATTACTCTATCTAGGGCCACATCAACGTAACAAAAACTCATTTGAGGGGTCTAGAATTTTTCAACATTAGGCTAAGTTTCTTAGAAATCCCAGTTCAGGTCTCGCCCTGAGTCCGTTTCTAGGCTTTTTGAAAACGAACTTCCCCTTGACTCTCGCAAAATTTCGCGAAGTCCCCTTTGACCTTTCGGAAACGTCGAATAAAAATTAAAAAAAGACCTAACCCCACTTGTGTTTTTTCGGACCCACCCATATCCCTTTGCTTTTTTGCTCTCGAAAATGAAGTCCAGCCTGCTTCCAAACGATTGTGCTGGGTCCAGTTGTATCCTTTTCCCTTTCACATATTCATACTTACCAACAACTTATTGTCAGGAATGGTAATATCCAGATTCTGATTCACAACTGGAGTACCCAGAGGTAATGCGACCGCAAAACTTGCAGAAGAAGAAGAAGTTCGAATACTCAATTTGGCAACAGCTAAAGCTGCGCGCATGGCTCCTCGAATTGGCATCATTTTCTGAAAAACTTCTCGATTTGAACTGATCCATAAGCTTAGCGTATCAATATTTCTACGTGGGAAAATTTTGAAAATCAGCATAAAATATAATTGTCCTATGAAGAGAGTTAAAGAAGCAGATGCTAAATCATAAGTACAGACCACAGTGCAAATGATTAACTGTAGTTTCTAGCCATGACGTTCACTGATAAAGATAAGAGTAAATTATAGGGGTGGAGCAGTTCGCTACACGTGGACGTAGAAGATGAGTCAAAAAACCATTTATATATAGGTTCTACTGCATGAAAGACCTTTAGGATACAAGAAAATAGGCATTCATGGTAAATTCAAAGGTTAAGGATAAGCTTATGCAGAAAGAAGAGTTTGAGTGCATAGCTAGTTAAAGGGACTCAAGAGCTTAGGTTTTACTAGAAAATAAGTATAATTAAAGTAAAAGCACGCCTTTCGTCCCTCAAAGCAAAGAAATCTAACTTGCGCTGAATTTGAGCGAATATTTGCATGCATGATGCAACTGTGAGCTGGCGCCGACGAACACGAAATGGGCAAGGAATCGTAAGGACGATCGATGGTATCCAAGAAGGATTGTCTTATCGATGTGTGTGGTCTTGATCTACCTTTTTATTATGAGAAATTCTTAAAATCAGTTTGGCACAGATGGTAGAACAGCCGATGGTGCCGTCTCAGTGGCGTCATGCAAGACGACGAACAGGTACAGCAATAAAATAACTTTTACTAATAAAAGAATGAAAATGGGCAATTTCAGAAGGCCGACACTGTTGTTCATCGAATTCTCAATCGATTCGCACCGCAAAGATTTTTGAGGAGATCGAAGCCTTATTTAATCGAGTATTTCGTCGGTCAAATCCTGTTATAGTATAAAACTACTGTTCTTGGTAAAATTTTAAACCGACATGATCACGATTTCTTTTATATCTGCGTAGTAAAAAAATATATAATTTAGCTGAGCAGTCGCGCTGCATGTAACTCATGTAAGATTTCACGACAAATAATGCGTATGTGTTGGGAAGACCTTCTTGATTATTGATTCAATATGTCGTTTCGGAATTGTTAGATGTATAGATGGGGTTAGCAAATATGTCTTATGAGTGAGTGTAGAAATTAATGAGCGTAAAAGATGCTCTTTTTATGATTGCTCCTAAACAGAGATTTGAAAAAAATCAAGGTCTTTCGATGTTGATATCTTGATTTTAAACTAAAGGATTGCTTTGAAATTTTGGTAATTTGGAAGGCCATAAAATAATGGGATTAGGTCCACTTATAAATGGCTAGTCCTCAGAACTCAATTACATATGTATACATTTTGTTAATCCTTCTATATATAAAGCTGAATGTCTGTTTGTATGTCTGTCTGTATGTATGTATGTATGTATGTATGTACGTATGTTCCGAATAGAAAATTCCATTTCTGAACCGATCCGGACCAAACTTGGCACACATACACTACGGGCCCCGGCGGGTGTCATAGGCTACTTTTCGTCATCGATCGATATCGATTTTATCGATTTTTATCGATTTTTTTGCTGAGTTCACCTACGGGGCTGGGAGTTGGCACAGGGGGGTAATCGAGCATGGGGATTCCGAATACAATATTGGTTTTCAGGATTATCGATTACTTTTATCGATTTTATCGATTTTTTTGCAAAGTTTGAGCTACGGGGCTGGGAGTTCGCACAGGGGGGTAATCGAGCATGGGGATTCCGAAACAATATTGGTTTTCGGGATTATCGATTACTTTTATCGATTTTATCGATTTTTTTGCAAAGTTTGAGCTAGGAGGCTGGGAGTTGGCACAGGGGGGTAATCGAGCATGCTGATCATCCCCAAGGGGGTGATCAGCATGCTCGATTACACCCCTGTGCCAAATTCCATCCCCCTAGCTCAAATTTTGCAAAATCGATAAAATCGATAGAAGTAATGGATAATTCCAAAAACTAATATTGTATTCGTAATCTGCATGCTCGATTACCCCCCTGTGCAAACTCCCAGCCCCGCAGGTCAAACTTTACAAAAAATCGATAAAATCGATAAAAGTAATGGACGATCCTGAAAACTAATATTGTGTTCGTAATCAGCATGCTCGATTACCCCCTGTGCAAAATCCCAGCCTCGCATGTCAAAATTTACAAAAAATCGATAAAATCAATAAAAGTAACCGATAATTCTGAAAACTAATATTGTATTCGGAATCCCCATGCTCACTTCCCCCCTGTGCCAACTCCTAGCCCTGTAGGTGAACTCTGCGAAAAAATCGATAAAAATCGGTAAAATCGACATCGATCGATAACGAAAAGTGGACTGTGACACGCGCCGGGGCCCGAAGTGTATGTGCGCCAAGTTTGGTCCGGATACGGCGGAGCCGGGTAAGCCAGCTAGTATTTCCTAAGCCGAACAACAAATGAATAGCCGTAAGTGATGCATTAGTGAATGAAACAACATTTCTGCTGAAGACTTCTTTTTATGGAGCTGAAGGGTTTGTGGTAGATTTGGGTAGGTACACTCCTGTAGAATTTGAAGGAAACTAATCCGAATTCTATATTTGGAAGTACAAAAATTGACTTTTCATGGAAGAAGCAACCACTGAGCTTGCGTAAAAAAATTGTAATTGCGCTCATCTATTCTTTATGAATATATGCTGTTGAAGTTTTTATGCGTAGACTGAGAAATCAACTATCTTTTTATTGATCTTCACTTCTATAGCTAATCCACAAATTGCAGATGCAGAGGAGGATTTCACAAAAACATCAAGTTCAACTGGTGTGGTTATTTATCTATTTATTTGATACACTTTTGCACCGAGAGTGCACCGAAACAGAAAAAAAGGACGGCATTGGGATAGGAACACTTTGTCCGTTGCTAAATGCCCTAGCTTTTTAGAAATATTAATAAAGCGAAAAAATGGATGCAGATGGACCCTCAAGGGAACGTACTTTTACGATCAATGAATAAAGGTGTCAGCTAGTAAACGCGTGGAGCTTCTTATCACTTTTGCTGTGACAAGGATTATAGGATAAATTAAGAATTATTGGAAAAGGCTTTCAGGACTGAATTCTGACGATAAGATCAATCAAAAATCAAACATTCAAACATTAAGGCTTTTATTGCCTTATCAATAACGGCATTCAAATGCTGAACATGGGTGCTGAGCATATACAATCCTAACATTAACATGAAGCTGAGAAGAAGATTTTATGTCATAAGAGTTTCGGTGGGAAAACGTGATACTAGAACATTCTGAACCACAAACTGGCTCTGTTCCATTGCAATGACTACAATTTACAACATTTATTGTAAGTAATTTGACGGAAAGAACTACTTCAGAAACAGGATTCTAGGGGTAACCCCTAATGAGATCATGAAATTCTTCTCTAACTTTTCAATGACTCTGTGATTGATTTTTGGCAGTAGGCTCGTTATATAGGGCCTATCACATTGACAATGTAAATATTTTAACTGATGTCGCTTGGTTTGATAGAATGCAACCGCTGCAAAGGACTAAATTTCCCACGATTTGGAAAACATGTTGGACAACTAAATTAATTTGCGTCAGTGATGAGTCATGTGTTTGGAGTTCTTGAAATGGCATCAGTAATAGATGAACAACTGAGGTTTGGTTAGTTTCTAATCCAACTTTTAGTAGCCGCGAACTATGCTTGAGTTTGTTTGTATCCACAATTTCCCAGTTCAGAACGCCTAGTACAGAGTACGCGCCAAGTTGCTGGCTGGCCTTGATTTTTGAGTAGAAAGGAAAGTCTGAGTCTTCCTTCAGATGTGCCTATCTATTGTTTCATTCTATATGGAAAGTTGGTCGTCGGTGGTCTCAATATGATAGCGTTGGAGCAGTTTGTCGCATCGTTGTCAGCCTCAAGTTATCTGCGATGTTTCAAGGTGTTCTCCCATTGACGTTCTAATTTTAGAAGTTTAACGGATTGTTATTTGTGGCAGTGTTGATTCCTTTATGGCAACCTGCGCATTCTTTGGACATGTCTCGGTTACATCAACGGAATTGCTTTTATTGTACTTTAAGGTATGAATCCTCGTTAACAGATCTAACAACATCTTTTAATCACTTGAAGAACACTTTGAATACTAAGGGAAAATTTGGTATCTATGAGAACGTTACTGGATGTCATTTGATTTTCATCATTCACCCAAAAGAGTGCCTACATCTTGAGTTCAGTCAACAATAATGCGGATTACATATTCAAGGAATTCGCGTGTCATAGAATTCTTTATACCCTGCATTACAATAAATGAGTACATAATTATTTTCTTCCCGTATAATAATAGTAAACATAAGGAGTGTTGGTGTTTGTATTGCAATTGCTACATCCATTCGTGTTGGTAGTACTGTATGGATTGTAGTAATAAGTTGTTCCTGTTGCTGAAAAAGTCTTCAACTAAATGGGTTCCGAGTGTAGGTAAAAAAATCAAAAATATACCGGCATCATAGTAGACTTGGTTGTTGTTGTTATTATTATAGTTATAGTTGTATCCTGTACCTAAATGGTGTTTTCAACAAATTTTATAAGCAAAAATATCAAGATTTACCGCTGTCATAGTAGACTTGATTGTTGTTGTTGTAATTATAGTTGTATCCATTATTGTTATTAGTAGGGTAGTAATATGTGGTACCAGTGTTGGACGTGGGTACGGTATAGTAGTAGATATAGTAGGCTTCTGTGCAGGCTAGCAGGGTAGCCAGAAGGCATAAAAGGCTGAAATTGATTTTTTGGCCCTAAGTTTGGTTGATCCAAAATCCTGCTTCACTCTTTCAAAAGCAGCTATTGTTCGTGACTGGTTGTTTGGTCTGTTATATTTTGGAAGGATAGTTTCAAGTTGAAAAATGAATAAAGAAAACAATCACATTTTCATTATTCTAGAAGAATCGGTACGATTGCAGCTCCAGAGACTTTTCTTGATGAGGGAGAGGGAGGGGGAAAGCGGAGAAGATTAGTGATTTTAATTCGAAATCGAGTTCATTACTTTTGGACCAACCTACACGATAAAATTATTTGCTAAACTCACCTTACAATCTTCATGGTGAATGCGCTGCGGACCCTCGGTACCTCTGCCATTTCCTCTCTTTTATAGCATGGTCGAATGGCTGACACAGAACATGGGTCGCAGGGAAAATTTAGCGATTTCAAGAGCTTACGATTCCCATGCGGCCAGTGATTACATGCATCGCAGAGTTGCAGAGAGTGCAGCAACGGCTCTGGCCAACGTAAGTTTGTTCAAGCACATTCGGAGGTACTTACCTCTGCAAAGTGAATCAGCTTGGAGAGACGAGGCTATGAAGATCATAGATTAACAGTTGGTTTTGATAATTCAGTGAAGTAAATTTTCTACTTTATAATTAAAGGTGTAAAGCTCTTTCAAAGAAGAGAAATGAGAAACACGCCCATAGTGAGAAGGGCCAAAAAATGAACTTTTGCGCTTCCACCAAATCATTACTCCGAATCAGCACTATAAAAGTATTCAAAGATATCAAACAAAGTTTGGCTTTTAACACATTACGAAGTGCTTTAGCTTTCAATTGTTTACATTGATCACTTACTGAATTTGACGGCTTTTATTGAAGTCTGACAGAAACCTGACTCACAAGAATGATCTTTCTGTATTTTTGTTTTTTACCTTCATTACACCGTTTCACATTCTCCAGCTCATTCGTAGGCAATGGAACTGTGCGATTTAAGCAGTTATCTGTTGGAACCTCTCGAGAATTTACGGCACATTTACAGCTTTCTAAAAAATCAAGCATCTTTTAGTCGCAAAGTATTGACCAAAAGAATTATACTTAATTATCTAGATACTTAGACGACCCGGCTTCACGTGACGTCGGGCTCCAGGACAGAAGTTTGCATTTATCCTTGTCCCTCGCTTCAAACACCCACGATCTTCTTGGTTATCGTCGGTAACTGCGTCAACGAGATTAAGGGTAATAAATCGTACCCAGCTGATTTCTCAGCCGGTCCATACGTTCACGAACACGTCTGCCCTTCTTGTTGGAGGTCCTTCTTGAGGACGTTTCGCTTCACCAGGAATCCATTCCGATGTTCTTAGTGTCCATTTGCTGTCAGTTCTTCTCATGATCTGACGGACCCATCGATGTTTCGCTTTCGCAACGTATTCCGCTGGGTTACGAAGACGGGACATCCTTCTTATTATTAGATCGTTATGCGAAGTTCGACAAGATGTTGTTTGTGTCAGCTCATCTTTAGATGACTGCGCTCAAGGGCTCTGTGGGTGGTCTGTAGAGCTTTCGACGTGGCTACAGTGTTGGCCCAAGTCTCAGGTGCGTAACAGAGCGCCGGGAGAACGGTTGAGTCGAACAGGTGGGCACGAAGCTCCGGGTTCGTCAGTTAGTTGGTAGCTTCCTTCAAAAACACGAAGGCGGCCAGGCTGCTCTTCTTCTCCTGTTGATTTCTTCCCTCCAGTCGTTCTCCATGTTCATCGAACGTCCGAGATACACGTAAGAAGACGTCTACATGATAGGAGTGCCTTTCAATTCATTTCTGCATCTTCGCAAAGGGCCTTCTTCATGAACTGAGTCTTCTTCCGATTTAACTGCAATCCGATCTTCTTCCCTACTTCGTTCAGTTCCTTCAGCATCGTCTTTGCTTCAGTGATAGTGCTCGAGAAGAGAAAGATGTCGTCCGCAAAACGAAAATTGGACAGGAATCTCCCATTAACTCGTATACCTCTCTCGTCCCAGTCCAGTGATTTCATCACCCACTGTACATGCGGCCGCAGTGAACAGCTTCGGTGAGATTGTTTCGCCTTGTCGGAGGCCCTTTCCGATTGGGATGGTCAAACAGAGATGGAACAGCTGCGTCGTCGCTGTGCAACCCTTTTAGCAGTTGGCTAACATCCTAAACTTAAGCTGGGTCCACTCCTTGACTGATTAGAGCTGACGGGATGGCAATGGTTTCGACGCTGTCAACGGCTTTCTCGTAGTCGACGAAGGCTTGGACGAGAGACAGTGGTGCTCCTGGCAGACATCTATGACCCTCGCAATCGTCTGGATAAGGTCCATGCAGCTGAATCCTTTGCGAAATCCAGCTTTTTCTTGGAGTTAGGCTTCATCCAGTGTCCTAGATATGCGAGCTAATCTTCGTGAAAAGCTTGTACAGCACGCTCAGCAGGCATATTAGACGGTACTTCCGAAGTTCCTCCCTTCACCCTTCTTGAAGAGAAGCACGGTGCTTGACGTTCTCCACTGGTCGGAAAGACTTTCCTTTTGAAGGGTAAAATGTCTGGTGCGACGCAAGAATCTCGCGTAGACGTTGTCCTCCGGCTTACAGAAATTCGACGGAAAGATGGTCTGGTCCTTAAGCCTTGGAAGTCTTCGTGATCTTGATCGCTGTGCGCACTTCAGCAGGTAGAATCCTTGGTGGCGATTCTCCAGTGGGAACAACGGGCAAGGATGTTGATGAGCGGATATGAATATGTGCAAATGACTTGTTTATACTTATATCGTCTATTCCCCACAGTATAGCGGGCGGAGCTTTGCCGACGTTTGCTAATGTATGCGCGTGGCAGTTTTTGACAGCTAGAGATTACAAAAACCAATGCTCCAAAGTGGATATTCAACAAGTTTTTCAACGTGTTGAAATGTCTGCAGGGCTGCGCCCGCTATATGCATGAAAAACGCCTATAATTAATTGAAATATTTTCAAAAGATCTTTAAAACTCATTCTAACTGGAAAAGAAATTTTGTCGGGAGTGTGGCGTCAGCTACGCCTCCTTTTTCTGAAAATTCGGGGCTGTGGGCCCGCGAAAATTTCAGGGAGGACACCAAAAATTTCTTCGGAGTGCGAAATCTCATCCGAAACCCCATCAGAAAAAAATTTTTTTCGCTCCCCCCGAACGGAAACCTGGGTACGCCAGTGCAAGGTGTGGTGATTTCTAAACAGTGTACTTTTCAAGAGCATCGAAATAACGGCTGCCACCGCTTGCGGCATAACTTTTTAAGAATGCCTCATGATTAAATTCAAAATTCATATTCAAAATCAGAAATTCTAATAGCCTGGTGTGAGAGTTTATAAGTCGCCTTACTTCTTTTCTGAGGCAAAGTATGGCTCTCCATGGCTCAAAACTCTCTTCGAAGTTGTTTACCGTAATCCTAAAGTAATGAAGAGCGATCGGTAATTCGCTCCATACTGTTATTCAAGTTGAACCCAGTTTTGCAGAATGGTCGTCGCTTTCTCTCCAGAACTTCATAACAATACAGTTGCTAAAAATTAAACAAGGCACATTACTTTCGGAGCACCCTGTATAAAGTACCGCTCATGGGGATTGGAAGTTTGTAGCTCTTCTTTTAGTGATAGCAGCAGATGTATGTCCCATCTGTCTGATTCATCGATCGCCATTATATTTTGAGTTTTAGTGGAGGGTTGGCCTATGACCTGCCCTTCGCTGCCAATATGTCAATGCTCTTTATACCCACATGAGACTAAACTCGAAAAGAGTTAGGCTTTCTTTGGTTCAAAGCGGCCATATGTTTGCGACAAGGAACAAGCATTTGCGAACATATAAACAAGAAACTGTTCTTTCTTCCCTTGTCATTGTTGCATGAAAACAGCAAGATTATCATCAGCCAAACCCAGTTACGTACCAGGCCGTTTGGGGAGAAGGGGGGGGGGCGGCGACAAAAACAAAAAAATTCTTTTCACAAGGCTAATTTGAATTTACAAAAATTGTCAAAAATTTTTTCAATCATTTACAAGTAAAAATAAGTCACCTGCACATTTCTCATGACTCGACATGCGCGTACCTTCACCGTTGTAGATCCTGTGCTTGGCGCTCTGCTGCGTTTGCGCCCAAGGATAACACGCCTTCGTCATGCAGTGGCCTATAACATTTATGCTAGACCACGTTCTACCAAAGATCTAAAGTGCATGTTATGTCTCGTAGAAGACAATCGCAATCGTTTGCACAAGTTTAGTAGAAAAAAAAATCATGGCACTTGGTTTTGAGACGGAATAAGGGAGTCGCTGGAGGGCTGCTAGCCATTAACAGGTGAGCGAACTTCTGGAACGTTACTTTTCCAAATTCTGTTCAAACTTATTGTTATTTATAACACAAAATGGGAATGAAGTGCTTCTGCTTAGCTGATTTCAGGAGATCTTTTCACAGGTACACCCTTCTTTTGCTTTTTCCACATAGTGAAAAAACCTTCAGTTTGTTCGCTTGTTACGATGAAGCTGAACAACTGTTGAGTGTTCTTCTGTGCCGTGCAGACTGTTAGGTCGTTTTCATTTGTCAGCATCAAAGGCCTTAGATTTCAACGATTTCGTTCTCGTCATGGTCCTAGAATGGTATCGAGCTTCATCAGCTTCAGCCCACCAAATGTCTCCCGTAGTTCCACAGCAGCGTTAACCCAAGCTAGTTGTCAAAAAAAACTGCGAAAGCAAAGACATATCAGGGAACCACCGCTTCGTCAACCAGATGTTCGTACCGAAAGGAGATGGTCGCGACGGGCGGATGAGTTGTACTGTATTGCATGGTCAGTGATCTAAAGTCACAATTCACATAATGATATGAACGGAAAAAGTCAGCGCTTGTTGATAGACATTCGTTTTTGTCTTCAATTTCTGGATTCTTTGCATAAATATAAAAGGCTTTCGGAGCTTTCTAGCCAAAATCTGTTCTCCAGACGTTAAAGTTGTTTCATACCGTGACCGCAGCAGACTGCAGCTGACTATATTGGCTGCTGCGGCCGCAGCGGCCGCAAAAAAAGAAAATTTTGACTGTAAAGGGAGAAATCGAAACTTTTTGATTTTCTTAGGCGTCATTCAAGATCTCTCGTGATCAAGGTCTCTTTCTTTTTTATTTGAACATGCTGCGGCTGCTGCTGTCTGCTGCAGTCAGCTGCAGTCCGCTGCGGTCAATGCGGCAGTATGAAAGAAGCCTCGGAACCGCGACTTTGATGTCAAAGTCTTCAACACCATGCCTCTCGCACCTATGTTTGCCAAGCGTTGAAGCCATGCTATATCTTCTTTTATCTGATAGACGTTTTTTTACGCGAATGCTAAACATTTTCCCGTCTTTCCGATATAACGTGCCTTGCAGC